GTTGGCTGCCACTGTTTACACAGCCCCAGGGAAGTGTTAGGCTGTCCAGGGGACAAGGGGGGACAGGGCAAGGGGGGGGTCTGCAGCTCAGAACTGTGGAGCTCTATTGAAGTTGACAGGGCTGTGCTGATTTACATTACCTGAGGACCTGGCGCACACTTGCTGTATGTGTCGTTGTGTGTTTACACTGCTTTCATCGCATGCTTCACATATCCTACTGCCTCTCCGCTGTCTCCCTTCCCTCTTGCTGCCGGGTGTCTCTCCCCCTGCCACGCAGTGACTGGAAGGTCAGCAGCTCTCTGGTGCTGGGGAAATGAGCACCACAGAGCCCAGCGAGGATGCTTGGTCCCTCCTGCATTCAGTGTGGAAATTCATGATTTCTTTTGCTGCTGAGGAAAGTGTCGTGGACCGTGACAGTCAAGCTGGGAAGCAGGCTCTCCAGTAGCCGAGGCCATGTTGCCTCAGCACTGTGAGTGACTGCACTGATGCCATGAATCCGAGGCAAGACATTGGCGAGGGAGTCTGTGGCATGTAGCCATGGGGAAGGCATGATTTCAGGGGGTTTCTTCTGGAAGGAAACTTCCAGAGTAAACCATTCTTACCACCATTTCTTCTTGGTGTAAGAAAAAGAAACAAGGCAAGCTAAGCAGCTAAAGTGCCCTGTGGTGTGCGGTGCCTGGCAGAGACACCAGCGCGAGCCCCGAAGCACCACAGCATCCGACTGCACCTCTGCGCTTACAGCCCTGATGCAGCTCTGGGGGATCTCCCTGTGTTTGTGTGATACTGTGTTATTCTTATCTTCGGGACTCCCTGCTGTGAGTCCCAAGGCAGTGTTTTACTCCTTTCTGTAGTTTGTGCGCTGGAGGCTGGGGACAAGCAGAGGGATAGGACGCGGGTGGAGAAAAGCACTGGTGCTTCACTGGCTTTAGTCTTTCAGATTTCTGCTTCAGTTGCCCTGCTTGCATACTAAGAGTTAACCTGAACCCCAGGTCAGGGCGGGAGTGAATTTTCCCCCTCAGGCTGTTTGTCAGGAGTTTCCTTTGTCCTCCTCCATTATCCATACCAGGAGGTCATCTTGGCAGCCCTTTTGCAGGCCCTTTGGCCCCAGCCTTTGCACTCTCTTGCCCTTTCCTAAGGCACAAGTTGTGGCTTTCAGTCACTTGTGACAGGTCTCACATTTGCTGTGGAGCGCTCCAGCATTCAACGGGCCTTGGTAGTGTGTGGGGATGATGTGCCAGGGACTTTTCTGAAACGGGCAAATGCTGTCTTTGCAGGGGATGGCAATGTGACCTCCATGGTCCCCTCAGGCCACCAGCCCAAAGACTTGGTGCTGGTCTAGGTGGATGGAAAGATTAGTGGAGAGAAAAGCCCTGTGGGAAGGACTTTCCTAGAGGTTTTGCACCAGTGCTCTTCTCTGGGTTGGGAAGGCTGGACTGCCCAGTGGGCAGAAACCACAATACTCTAAAAACTCCCTTTAAACTAGTTTTATAGGCAGTCTAAAAGCAAGCTAGAAATCATTTGCCTGAGAAGGTCCCAAACAGTTTGTGGTTTCACATGCGTATTTTCCTGTTTTTTTTGAATGTTTTCAGTTTGTTGTCTGAAAGATACACAGAGAGGAAACCGTCTGTGTGATTATAAAACTGGGGAAGCAACAAAACTGATTAAACATGAGATGCTGTCAAATGTATCAAGTAAATACACTAGGGAAAAAAATCTCTCTTCTTGCTTGGTAGTGTCAGTAAGTTAGAATAAGTAAATATAAAGATAGACAAAGAAAAGCACAGCTTAAAAATTGGCCACATTTCTGCAAGACTATGACAGCATCAGAGCAAACTAGGATTATTCTTAAATGCTGGAAAATAGATTTGTAAACTTCTTAGCATCAAAATGGAATACCAAAAAATCCCCACAGTTGTGCTGTACCTTTAGCTCTATGTATGACTTTGAAAAAAAGCTTTCTAGTAAAGCTAATTCTGGGGCTTTTTCTCGACTTTTCATTCTAGGATTTGACCCTGCTTCCCCTTTTCAGGTCATGAGAGATGCCTTCATTTGTTTCTCTGGTCTCTCATAGTGACAGCACATGTCTTGCATTGTTTCTTAGTTCTTCAAGGGTGACACAAAATATATCATTTCAAGCTGGGGTTTTTTGATACTTACCTTCCAGTATGTCAGACTGTGGTTCCTTTGGGCAACTTTGTTATAAGATAAATTGAAATATAAAATATGTAGGTAAAAATAGTTGGCTTGTAAAAAAGTTGTGACTCTCAGTACTTCCCAGGATCAAGCTTAACAAGATTTGGAATTAATAAGAAAAATATATCCCAGTGCCATAAAACCCACATTTCTGAGTGGTGGTTGGTTTTGCAGCTGTTGTTTAACTGCCTAGCCTTTTTATAACCAGATTTTGTTTTGCTTTGTTTTCTAATAGCATATCAGCATTCATTCCATTGAACCTTTGTGGATTTCTACATTAGGCAAAAGTGAAATAACAGTCAAAGGAGAAAACTTTACACATGCATCAGGCATAAAACTGATATTGACTGGAACCACCGGCTGTAAACCAGACATGTGAGTTAAGCTCTGAAAAATAATACTATTTACTCTGCATGGTGAAAATTATGCTCATTTTGCCCTAGCAGTACAGTTGTGTGAATGGTTGTCATGGACCTCTCCTCAGCAGAGGGATGCTCTGCACTCCTTAGTCATACTTCAAATTTAAATTCCCGAAGGATGGAAATGAATTTGGTGTTTAGCTACAATACAAGGGATAGATGGGTAGGCAGGTAGCTCTCAGCAGTAGTTAGGGCAGTTCTGTACCTGTGGCTCTCCGTGTCTTGTGGCAGGCAATGAGAAGTTAGGTCACAGGAAAGCCTCACATTTTGTTTGACTCTCCTCTGCTTCAAAATATCCCCCATATATTCTAGGATTCTGCTTGTGAAAGCACAGACTCCATGCCAGGGAAGAGAATCTCTCATGCAACAGCTTGTACTTTTCTCTGTTGATGATTGCACAGTGTACTCCCCTAGATAATTATGCCGTCTTATTCTGAATCAGTCATTTTCAGGTGCAGCTGCAATGGCTGCCTGTGATTACCAATCCCATTTTACATAGCTAGCACTTGAAAAAGTATTCATATGGTACAGTTCAATTTTTAGTTCAACCATGAATTTCCTGGGGACAACAGAAAACAAAAGGAGAGGAGGAAGGACAGAAAGGGAGGAAGGGGAGAAAGGTAGAAAGGAGGAGGAAAAGAGGGGAAGAGAGAAAAAGAAGAAAGAAAAGGAAACTGAAGATTCTCATTCTTGACAAGCTAATGTGTTGGTAGCACAGAGAACTACACAGCAAAGTGCACAGTTTACGCAGCAGAATCACACATTGCATTACATACCTTCATCCCAAGACCACAAGACCAGTATCTGTACGGTCTTCCGTGATTATGGTGACACATAGCAACTTCATTCAAAAGATGCCCTACTTTGTCTTTTCAACTCCCTGCTCTCTCTTTCCACCTCCATCTGGCAGCTCAAAGATTAATTCATTCCTCTTCTCCCCTCATCCTTCACTTTAGGTTATAGGCTTCATGTAGTAGTATGCCAATGAGTGGCATAGTGGCACCTGCATTTCAGCGTCTGTTTTTTTTCTCCTCCAGCATTAAAGTTAGAAATGTACTAAACGATACACAAATGACATTTGCTCTCCCACCAACACGTAAAGAGGCGAAAAGTATATGTATACAGGCTAATGGGAAAAAATGTTCACCACCAATGACCTTGCATTATGTTTCACTGCCGTCGTGTCTTGGAATCACACCAAATAGCTCCTGGATCAGGTAAGTTTGTATTTCTATAATTTTATTTATACATTAAAATGTAGTCCCACTGAGCCAATATGAGCCTCCTTCCTTGGCCTGACTGCAGCTGTGGTAAACTTGATTGAGTGCTGTAACCTGTTGTGGAGGATGAATTTATGCTGGTGAACCGATTTAACATTTAACACGCAGATAGAGTCGTGATAGCTGCAAGACAGGTTCTATGTTCTGAAGGATTCTGTAAACTCCTTCCTGCCCACCCCAGGGCTCCTTTGTAGAAGTCAAAAATAGTCTCTTCATTCTAAAGCTAAATCCAAAATATGGGTAGCACACATGAATTCAAATTTCAATTAACTTTGATTTCTTGAAACTAATGTACCGTTCACCTCTGAAACAGTATAAAGTATCACTGAATTGGAAATGAAGTGAAAATAATTGCCACTTGCAGTGATACGCGCAGACTTGTTTTAGGACCAGGTTCCCTAAAGCCAAAAGAGCCCTTTTCAACCTCTGCTGTGTTCTGTGGGAGACTCATGGCTCCAGTGGAAGGCTTACAGGATGGATTTAAGATATTCTCAGGCACAGCTTTCCACCTGTCCCTCTGCCTGCACAGTTTTTACCCGCTTTCACATTCTTAATCTGATATCTTGGCGTCAAGCACTGGGAAGTGTGGATTTGAGGTAATAAGTTGAGCTGGCAGCTGCAGCGGCTGAGCAGCTAGGACGCATGCCCTCATCTCCAGGTAAGGGGCAGCGCAGGCAGCTGGAAATTAATAATACCTTAAACCACTCCAACTGTGTTCAGCAGAGATTGCGAGCCAGAGCCCTCAGACACAAGCACCATTGTGTGTGCTGAGACAGATGGTCTGAACACTGCTGAGAATGTTTCCTGTGAGGTGCCTGGCACCGTCAGTCCTGAAGAAGGCAAGAATTAAGCACAGGCAGGGCTGCTCTTGGGCAGTGAAATACCATGATGCTCTTTCTTCAAGAGACAATATTAACTCACTGTCTAGTTCTTTGGCTGCATGAATAGAAAACAAGGTGGAGAGTCCCTGAGAAGGAATATGCATGTGTATGCTATCAAGTCATTTGGTTTTGCGGTAGCAAAAGCATTGACCATTACATTATGAGGAAAGAATGGAAGTACTGTATAGCTCAAATTATCTTGTTCTGCAGTTTGACTTCATTATATTGACTGCTACCAAAGCAAAATGCACGAGTAGTTTATTTGTGGCTGAAGCCTTAGTGCAGCAAAACAGGTAATATTAACTTCCCTTCCTCCCCCCCTCCCCCTTTTTTTTTTTACAGTGGTGGTCGCAGAATTACTACAATTGGTAGAAATTTTAAGGTGGTGGACAGTGTGATTATTTCAGATGACCAGAGATCAAACCTCACTGTAAGTCTTAATCTCCTTTACAATACCAAATAGAGGTCTCTTAAGGGATTAGGTTTTCTTCCTAAGGTTTCAGGAGGATCTCAATATTTTTCCAACACTTACGGGCACACATCATCACCCTCCTGAAATAAATATGACCACTTGTAGGATTACAGTTGTGCATGTTCTGAGTACAGGATCATGGAAACACATAAGCTACTCTCCTGTATAATTCCCTGAGCCTTTTTAAAATGCTCTAGAGACGTGTTCCAAATCCATCCTTTTTGAGCCTCCCCAGCCTCCATATCTGGGTCTGTTGGAGGAGGAGGTGGTGTACTTCTCTGTGGCTTTGTGTTGAGAACTCAGGTGCCACTGTCTCAGCAAGGGGTGGGAGACCGGAGCTGTTGTTGGGTTGAAACCCTTCCTCTGAGGCTGTGAGTAGGTGGGCTTGCAGCACAGAGACCAGAAAACAGCAGCACCACCCCATGGAGTAACCAGTGGGGTGACTGTAGCAGCCCCTCTCTATCAGGAATTAAGGTGGGGAGAGCCAATGCCCAGGGGTGCTGGAGAGCTGGTCCTGCTCTTCTTTTGTCACCTGCATGGAGGGGAAGGAAGGAGAAATCTCTGTCACTATTCCTGTCTCACTGCAGGAAATAGCTGCCTTAGCAGTGTGCAATCAGCCTTAAAGAAGCATGCAGCGTGTGTGATAAACGTGCTTAAAGGTAGACACAGGCTCAACACAGAAACTTTCCCAGGTGCTCTGCTTGCAGCCCTGATCACGGAGAAGAGATTTAGCAGATATCTGTGTGAAGTCAGGAAGACGTTAAAATGATTTTGAGTGCCTCTGTTTGTAATTGTACCCACTGTTGAGTGCTTAATGACTGTTACAGCTTTGCTATTGCATTTCTAGGTCTCTAAGTGTCCTGGAAATGAATCTGACTATCATTACTTAACGCCAAGCCTGAGCCATGCAACAGAGGGTAAAGTTGTTGATATGATGTTAAAAGTGGAAACTACCTTTATACCATGTGTGAAATTACACTATCACCCTGACCCAGTGTTCATTAACTACCAGCTACACACTGAGCTGGATCCTGATCTGGAATTAAAAATATATGTAAGTTTGAAAGTAATAAACTATAATTCCTTATTTAAAATAGTAATTGGGTATAATTTTATTTCTTACTGTATTTAGTGACTATTTGTTATCTTCAATTTTTTCCCTCTAGAAAGAAAACGACAACTTGAATATTTCTAAAACTGAGGTAGAGGTTTATCTGTCATATATGAGTGGTTCACAGACCAAAAGGATATGGTTCAGCGTCCAAAATATTACCAAAAAACCAGATCGTAGCACCATACTGTGCAAATTCAAAAGGGAAGGAACAGACAAGATTGACTTTTCCACAGTGAAAGTTTTTGTAAGTAGAATTCCCTTTTGTTGCAATTTAACAATGCTTGAGTGTTTATGCAAATATACTAAAATGTAGCATTAATGTTCTGATCATGAATGCTCTTTATAGAGGGAGGAACTGGATACATTTTTTTGTTCTCCTGGTACTTCGTAGTCCAGTTATCTTCCTCACATCTGAGCATGCCTGCCTAGCTTAAGTGCCAGTAACAGCATGGAGTTCATTTACTGTCTTGTTATGCTGTAGTGTCAGAGGTAGGCTTTGCAGTCCAAGCTGAGCTCACTGCTGCTCCAGGAGAGTAGTAGCTTGTCAAACCTCTGGCTGACCTCTGGCTGCAGCACAGACATCACTGATAAAGCGTCACTGGCTCCAGAAGAGCCCCTCATCTTAGATCTGTAAGCAATCTGCTGCTGCAGTGTGGCTATGAGGAAAAGAATTGTGTCCTGTTCACTTTTTCCCACTGAAGTAGATAAGGTGAACAGTGCATAGGGGTCATTGCTGAGACAGAAGAGAAGGCATTTCTGGATGAAAAAGGGGGTAAAATTCAATCCGCACCAAAATGCTATGAAGGAGGCCAAAATGCTATGAGCATATGGCACAAAGCCAGCCCCAAATATAAGAACATTAGCATGGATATCAAAACTAAATGGCAGCTTAAGATATTTGCTCCATGAATAAGATGAAATTTTATAAAGCAATCATCACCATTTATGAGGGAGAAAAATGATGCCAGACTCTTATTGCAGTGTATGGTGGTATAAACCAGAAATAACTCTATTGACTTCAAGGCATATGGCTCATAGTAAAGATTAACGAAGCTATTCTCAATTTCATATCACTGTTAACTGATCCCCCATCTGTGGATCCTGCCGTCTGAGCCAGTTATGGCATGGAAAAGCCTTTCTGAGATTGGTGTTGCATTTAAATATTAACGTTGCCTTGCAATGTCACATGCTCATCCTGCAAGCTTCAAAGCAGCGACTGTCATAGAAAGGTCACCACTTTGCTAAGGCAAATCAAATGCCATAGTTATAATGTAGCATTTCACTTCTGGTACCTTAAAAATTATTTTTCCCAACATCAAGCAAAATGTAAAAGTAGGAAATTATCACATGTTTTTTCAATCTTATAAATAAATGATCATAGAAGAAGTAGGGCCACTCTGAAGAAAGGATGAGCTGAGTATAAAAGATAGGTATGGCCTAAGAATAAATGTATCTCTTGCTTTAGTTTCCAGGAAGAAAGAGGATATTGAGTGTGGGGTCAAAGACAGGATTATCAGTATGAATGGAGGTGTCAAAGAAGAAAATGCCATTCTTGTGACAGAAGCAAGATTCAGATAGATCAAGGAGGGGCTCAAGACAGCCAGAACAGGATCATTCCCATCACAGCACTGAGAAAAACTGGCACATGATATTGTGAGCTTAGTAGGAAAGATTTTAAATAAAACCGTAGAGTCAGGAGAGGTGCTGTATGACTGGAAAGCAGCAAATATAAAACCAGTATTTAAAAGAAAAAAAAATTAGGCAAATAGAGGCTTGCTGATTTAATCCTAGCTCTATGTAAACCTTTATAATGTATTTTGAATGAGCAACTCATGAAAGACCTGGAGGTAAATGGAAAATGGGATCACTGTCAACCTCTTTTTAATAAAAGCAGATTATGCTAGATATCTTTATTTGGTAAGATGAGTGATTTCCTCAACAACAAAAAAGCAGTAGATCACATGTACCTGGAAGTCATTCAGTAAACTGCTTAATGTGGTGATTAGGAAGACACTAGGGATTAGAAAAACTGGATGCTGTGTATGGGGAGCTGACTCTGGGCAATGCTGATTTTCATACAGATATTATTTAATATCACTGGTTACTTGAGCACAAAAATAAGGCATGCACTAATAACATTTGCTGATGACATAAAGCTCAGAGGCATTACCAGTCCAGAGGAGGTTTTATAACATCATGTAGGAAGAATGAAATTAATTCAGGAATAGGAATCGGATGAATTCAGGTGTACCTTATTTAGTCCGTGATTCATAAGCAAGATAAATTAAAAGATAAGGAAAGAAATGGGGCCACTGGGTATGAAAGTTATGGTGAAGATTAAATATAATCTAAGTATGAAAGGAAAATTCAATTAATGCTTTGCCTCGGTTTTCAGTAAGCAGGGATGAGTAACAGGAATTTCTGCTTTAGGAATGCTTTGGTTGGACGTGACAAGTGTAGAAAGTCAGGTCTATTAGTCATGGGATGATTAATGTATTTAGCCACCAATGCATTTCAGCCTTAGTAAAGGCAAATGGGATCCTAAGAAGGCTCAGACCGAAAGTACTTTGTATAGTAACTGTGAAAACACATAAACAACCAAGGAAAAAATACATTTCATGGCGGAAATAGGTCTGCTTTGCCTTGTGTTCTTTGTAGCCCTAGAAATGCGAAGGCTGTCCTTCCAGCCCCTGTGGGGTTTCTTTGCTTGCTTATGTCTGTGTAGCTGCGATGATACTATCCAGTTGGCAGCATCCAGCTGCCCTGGCTGCTCACCTCCTGTGACAAGCCAGTGATTGAAATCACCAGATCTCTGCCTTCCCTGCTGTAACCCAAAATAATTTCAACCCAACCCTCCTTTTCAATTATCTCAGGCTCATTTCTAACTCTGGCACTTGGTGGTATTCTTTTTCTGTGTCACAGCATATTTTTACTTCTAGTTTGTTTATCGTCTTAGCTACCCTTTATTTATGTGCTTTCACAGTCCTCTTTGAGATCCTCCTTTATAAGATTTCTTCTGCCATAATTATGAGTGGTGAATGCCTCAGTTTGGCATCTGGCAGACTACAGCACTTTTGTATATTCCTAAGAATTAATGTCTGTCCTGCCTTTGACAAGCTCAGTGGCTGTTGGGGGATGTTGTACAGGTGTTGTATGTTGTATTTGTTCTTAAGTGGACCTTCAGTAACACCTTACGTCCTACATAAAGAGGTTGAAACTTCTGCAAAGAAATAGAGAAGAGGGCTATGGGCCAGGCATCTATCAAAAATTTTACTTCCCTCATTATTAGTGTGAGTCTTATCTTACTTGTCTGCTCAGCAGAGTAACACTGTGAGTGCAAAGGAATTTTTTTAACTATCAACACATGCCTTCCTCACTTCAAAATGCCGGAACATTTAGCAGCGATTCTGAAGAGCATGAGCCACTTGGCCAGCTGGAGGCCAGATTTTGCCATTCAAGGGCTTTAGTTTGCAGCAACAGCAATGGCAAAATTTGGTGCTCTGTGAGGACCTCCAAATTTTTCTCTTGTCACTGCTCTGTTATCCTGCTGAAACATCAAATACAGTAGAAGTTAAGTTTGTTTTGGTTCACATATGGTTTCCCGTATTGCTGTTGTCTTCCCCAATAATCTCCAGAACCAGGGTCCTTCATGTGCCTCAATACATATTCTTTTAATACATTAAATGTCATTTTAAGCACTGATAAAATACCTGTCCCCTATTAACACAGCCATTATTTTTCTTCAGGTAAAATTAGGAAATTTTGAGCATGAAGTCAAACCAACATCATCACACATATATTTATATGTTCTTATTTTGCTACCTATTGTAGTGAGTGTCATTATAGGTAAGTACAATAATGTGTTTTCAATTTTTCATTTGCTGGAGGGTATAATCATGACACATAAACACATATATGTGCACACATACATGTTTGGGACTGTCACAAACAGGCTGGTGGTTTTCCCCTGTTCCCAATAAGAGTGGACAAAGTGAACTCTGGTCTGGTGGTGAAGCCCATCTTGTCAGACTACAGCATGTTACAAGACAGTAGTTTTGGCTGTTCTGCTGGGATTACTCACCACCATTTAGTCAGGCAAGCGATAGGACTGACATCCTTGTGTCACAACTTGGGCTCTTCCAGCTGTCAGAGCTGGGCTCCCCGCCCCGTCCCTGGGGCAGATGTTCCCTAACACACTGCTTATCCTCAGGCAGTGTTTGTGGTGTTTCTGCTCAGTCTTATTTGGATCATTCATGAATTTGTAGGTCATTACTAAATTGTGGGGGGTAAATAGTTATCCCCTCCTCTTTTTGCCACTCCTTTTTTTTCCGAATGTTTTGACCAGGTTATATATTTGATAAATTTCCCTTTGTTGTAATAAACTTAGGGGTTTGTTTGGGTTTCTTTTTAAAAAGTGCATTACCTTTGCAGGAACCATATCTCATGCCTTTACTCTCCCAAAACAAGCTTTAGAGAAGTTAACAATTTGGAAGTGGATTTCCTGTTCTAAACAACTGTTTTTCCTGTTTAATCAGTGCTACTTTAAGTAGGTTGCTAGTAATAGAAGTAGTTGTTAGATTCTGTGTCTCACTGTGCAGGTTGTACATAGTGGGGTGTGCTGTACTTTCAAATAAAGTTGGATTGACAATTCCAAGACCTTGTTAAAAGGAATGGTTTTTTATTAAACCAAGGGTTTAGATCCAGATAACTGGGGCTCATAGGTACTAGCACACTGACAATAGTAGAAACAGTAATCCTCTGGAGAGTGCAAGTGTATATTGATCTTTCTGTTTCTTAAAATCACATTAAAATGTCTTGTGGAGGGGTTGTCTGTTCTGCAATTTCTGTACTGAGAATCTTTTTTTTTCTTCCTTTTTAGCGGCATTCATAGTTACTAGATACAAATCCAAAGAGTTAACTCGTAAACAGAGTCAGCAACTTGAACTGCTGGAATATGAGATTCGGAAGGAAATCCGTGAGGGTAGGTCTAAAGAGCTTTACAGAGCTTAAGTACAGCATAATTTCTGAACTGAAACTGTCAAGAAGCTGACATTATATAAACATTTTCATTGTATAGCTATTAGAATATTTTTGTGTTGTATCAGAGTTCCTCTTTAATGTTGATGTGCACTATGGTAGCAGATAGCACTGAGCTAATAGGATTGCATGTAATACTTCCTTCAACAAAAGTTGGAATAAAAAATGGATTGGTACTTTCCTGCTCATAAGAGCTTCAGCTAGAAAAACAACCCCTTTTCCCTGAAAACTGTTTTTTAAGGAAGATCTGTTGGGGCCAAGTTATAATTGTGAATATGATTTTGTGTCAACTAAACTAACACTCTGGGTGGGGAGGGGGGGTGCTTTTTCAGGATTTGCTGAACTGCAGATGGATGAATTAGACGTGGTGGATAGTTTTGGAACTGTTCCCTTCCTTGACTACAAACACTTTGCTCTTAGAACTTTCTTTCCAGAGGTAAATATTTACAAGTCTTTCAGTTGTCAGCCCTGCCTAATAATGAAAAAGCTAGGAAGGTCAGGATAAAATAACTATAGTAAATACAACATAGTAATTGCACATTGTTTTCACAAGAAACTTTTCTTAAATCAAGAATTACCAAAGAACACTTAAGGCTGTACATCTCTATATTTAACCAAGCCTAAATGGTGTAGATAAAGCACCGTTGTTGAATTTTCAAGGGTTGTATGTGCATCCATTTCTTTTTTGCCCAGCCTCACTAAGCTGCTTGCCTTTCAGGCCATCCTAACTAAGCTATTATTTATCCGTTGCTTTTTTTGTTCTCATGCTTTCACTTTCCATGCTATAGCTAATTAAATTAACAGTCAAGCTAGCTAACATGCTAGCTAACATCATGACACTTCCTCATTAGACTTGTGGGATGAAGAAGTGGCTCTAAGGTCGTGCTGACTTTCTTCTCCAAGCTGCTGACAGAAATGGTAAGACCTTGATTCAAAGGAGTGCAGGTCAAATGCTTAAAAATTACATAAGTACTTCAGTGCTGTCCAGTTCAGAGGGGAATATTTTCATGCAGTTTGCGTTAGAGGACTGAAGAGGCCTTCTCTTGAATGTTTTACTTCTCTTGCTAATTTTTTGCATATGCGGCACATTACGATACTGATAAGTGCATTTGCCACAGCTTTCAAAATTATATCATGATGTTAACCAGTGCTTACTGGCATTTACTAATTGGCAGAAGCTGTGATCTCAGCTGGTGATACTTTGCTGTGTAACTGACACCACTGAGTAGAAACCCTTGGTTAGTCCTGTGGTCTTGTAGAGTATAGCTAGTATGTACGCAAATTATCTACTTCATGTGTTACTCATCACTGCTGCGGCCCAGTCTTGCAATCTTATCTGCACACTGCTTCACTTTACTGCCATGTGTGATCCCACTAAAAGCTCATTGTGATAAACACATGTGATAGTGCAGAATCAGGGCCTTTTTTTTTTTTACACCACCAAATACCAGATACTAAGGCAAGAATAATATTTAACAATTACAGATGCATAACCTTTGTACATTTTGAGTCCAGTTCTCACACCAAAGGAAGCTGGGAATATCTTTTCTGGTACTGCTGTGATGCCCCCAGTCTAATTTGTAGGGGGTCACTAGGAGATCTGAAGAAAGTGGACCAAGGAAACCTTACTGTTTGCATCTCTTTCCTTTCTGTTTGTTTCGTTGCCAGGCTTATTAGCATTAAAATAGTGTTTTTATTTTTAGGAATATATCTTTTCCTAGTGATAGTCCCCTGTCAAAACAGTAACAATCTGTAGAAGCCGTCTGGGTGGAGTTGCTTTGCTTTATGCTAATAAAAAGGAAAGAAAAAAAGGCATGAAGTCTGCCACTCTGTAGCATTATGTGAGATCAGAAAGGGAAGGACTCCCATTTTGCCTTGGCAAGTCTCATGCCACTGTGCATCCTGGAAATCATTCCAATTAGATTTTGTCTCAGTTTGAAATACTGATACCACAAAGGTAAACTTGCCTCTATTAGCTCTCTACAGACATGCAGTGTCAGGCAAGTTATTTAGCATTGTGTACCAATTTTTCCTGATGAGTACTTACCGTTTACATTGCAGGAGTGTCCAAACATGCCTTGTGCTGTATGAATGTGGTAGGAGAGCAGTGCTCTACTAAACAAATATTAGAGATGAACAGAAAAGGCAATGGGGTAGTAAATTGCAACTGAGTGCCAGAAGGGTTGACAGAAGGGTCGAAGTGACAAACCACCACTTCCCTCACTAACCTCAGGTGTTTGAATGATGTCCATTCTGTATTCTTTCTGCCTTCCAGTGTGTTCGATGGGCTTTGTCTCATCTAATCTAAGCTGTTCAAACACGGTCATCAAAGTTGTTTGCTGAGCATCTTCTGTAGTCAGTGCAGAGACAGGCAGCTCAAGAAAGTGATTCATCCCACTTGCCTGAGACATCTGTCTCAGGATGAGATGAGTTGCTTAAAGAGGAAGTCAGATACCTAAAATTAAGAGTGATGGACCCCATCTTCATTTTGAGCTTCTCTCTTCCTGCTGCTTCAATTTTCTGTATTTAATCTGGCTTGGTAGCTTTTGTTTTGTGCTTAATGCTTGTAGGTGTTAAATGGATATTACATCTATTCTTAAAATATTCCTTATGTTCAGCCTGATATTCACTTTACTTATTAAATTTGGATATTTTTTTCTGTTTTCCCTTAATTTCCCACATTGTTTGGTTTAATGCTACCATCCTTGCTCCCTGTTCACAAACATTTTTAACCTTTAACGTGGTTCTGGGGGTTTCACTCTGTGTGCGTGTGTTTTATGGGTAGGTAGTGTTAGGGGTGCTGAAGAAGTTCTGGAAAAATGGAAATAGCCAGGGGAGGAACAGGGAGAAGAGTATGGTAGGGGAGAAGAGAACAGGAGGCATGCGGAAAGGGTAGGATGAAAAATCAGATATGTAGATGAAAAATTAGATGTGAGCCAGCAATGTGCGCTTGTAGCCCAGAAAGCCAATTGTACTCTAGGCTGCATCAAAAGAAACGTGACCAGCAGGTTGAGGGAGGTGATTCTACCCTTCTACTCCACTCTCGTGAGACCCCACCTGAAGTACTCTGTTCAGCTGTGGGGTCACCAGTACAAAAAGGACATGGACCTGCTAGAGCAGGTCCAGAGGAGGGCCACGAAGATGGTCAAAGGGCTGGAACACCTCTCCTATGAAGACAGGCTGAGAGAGTTGGGGTTGTTCAGCCAGGAGAAGAGAAGGCTCTGGGGAGACATGGTTGCAGCCTTTCAATATAAAGGAGGCTTCTAAGACAGATAGAGAGAGACTTTTTACCGGGGACTGTAGTGACAGGATGAGGGGCAACGGTTTTCAACTGAAAGAGGATAGATTTAGATTGGACATAAGGAAGAAATTCTTTACAATGAGGGTGGTGAGGCACTGCAATGGGTTGCCCAGAGAAGTTGTGGATGCCCCATCACTGGAAGTGTTCATGGTCAGGTTGGATGGGGCTTTGAGCAACCTGGTCTAGTGGAGGATGTCCCTGCCCATGGCAGGGCATCAGACTAGATGATCTTTGAAGGTCCCTTCCAATGCAAACCATTCTGGATTCTATGATTCTATAAGGAAACTAGGGACTGCCAGCATCACAGATAAAGCAGATGACAGTAAATGTTACTAGTGTGAATTTGTTGCTCAAGGGTGCTGCTTTGGGAACGTGCAGCTGTGTTGGGACCTTACAGGCTGTAAGAGTCAGACAAGAGGCATTGACAAGGTATTTGAGAACTGGGGACTTCCCTTTGTTGTGAGAGCTCTCGCTAGGACTGCATGTGTGGTGGCAGCTGTGCCTCTCTGGAGACTGACAGCATGGACCTCCTGGAGAGTTCATTAGTGAACATTCATAAAGTGCCTTGAAATGAATGGAGGCAGATGAACTCAAGTGTCGCTCTGTTACGGAAAGCCCATATACCAAAGGCTATCATTGCTATCCAAGACAGATGCAGCCTGCAGCATCCCTTGCACACCAGCACATTTGCAGATGAGGGTAATGAACAGCTTTTCCTGCTGCTTCCTCAGTAGCATAGAGTAACACATGTGGTAACACTGAAGTCAATACCAGGTCATCTTTGAGAGTTCACTCTTCTGTGAACCTTGGCAGCACCTTTGCAGAAGTTATTGTGTAGAGTTTTTATATTGTAGCCGCATTAGAAGCCAGCATTTCCATTGTTTTATTTCAAGTTGTATGCCACCAGGAACGTGCTCGGTGTCTTTAACGTGCATGGGTTAGAAACTTTTGGTGTACATAAGAATGATAAATATCACCTGTCTTATATTTTAGTCAGGAGGCTTTGCATCCATCTTCAGTGAAGACATGCCACAGGTAAGATGATGTAGTGTGATGTCCCTTAACTAATAAATATTTTTCAAGAGTGATTATATCCCTTATCTCAGTGTTGTCCTAGAACACATCAGATTGCATTTTCAATATGTTCCCTTTTCCTCATGAGGAGGGTTACATGGATATATATGTATATAAAAAGAATGTGATACCTGAGATGCTATTACCTAATGTATATTACTACTTATTTAAATAAAATAACCAGAATCTAGTCATGGGAAATGACAGGCAAACTTAACTATTGGCATGACTATGTGCATATGACAGAAAATGTATGCTCTGCATGTGTGTATTGTGTTGTACACAAACGCAAATGCATCTTCGGTAAAATCCTGAGACCCATGAAGTAAATGCAAAATTCCCACTGATTTGACTGAGGCCAGGATCTTATCCCATATGTTGCTTACCATTTTTCTAAGCATTAAGAATCCATCGTAGCCAAACTACAGTTTGCTTATTTTTGTTTAACTATTCCAGAGCAGAGACCAAACGAGCAAGGATGAAAGCTTCAACATGTTGCATGCTTTAATTTGTAACAAGAACTTTCTTGTTACTCTCATTCACACCCTTGAAAAGCAGAAAAATTTCTCTGTGAAAGACAGGTATAGTATGATTATGCTTATCATCTTCAAGACAAAGAATTAGCAGGAAAAACCAACATGGATTGTTACACTAATATAATTTCTACTACTTGCAAAACAAGCTTGCATTGCTCCAGAGTATTTTTCCATCTTCTCCATCTGCACACACTGAGGAAGAAAAAACATTGCCATTAAAACAAGCCATTAAAGAGAAATCAGAATGCTTGTACATGTAAACAAAGAGGCAAAGGAGCAGGAAAACTCACTTCAAAACTGTAAACACTTCCTGCAGTTAGATCAACAACTCTACAGTTTAGAAATGTTCTGTCACTGAAGCAAGTATTGTTCTGCAGAATTAAATTTAGAGACACAAATTCTGTGTTTAAAAAATAATAACAAGAGCAGATGGACTTGCATTTTTTATATTTTTGTAGACATCAGTGGACAGTTTCCGTGCCTGAGGAGGGAAAACTTAGGATATGAACTACACTAAAGTGTGTTTCATTTACTAAAGATGACTGGGAAGACAAATTCTAAATATTATAGCATTCTCTTTTTTCTTTATTCTTTTTTTTTTTTAACAGGTGCTTGTTTGCATCCTTCTTGACTATTGCACTACAAACTAAGCTAGTTTATCTAACCCATATTTTGGAAGTGTTGACAAAGGACCTGATGGAGCAATCAAGTAATGTACAGCCTAAGCTCCTGCTCAGACGAACTGAATCTGTGGTGGAAAAATTGCTGACAAACTGGATGTCTGTCTGCCTTTCTGGATTTCTCCGGGTATGTATACATCTTTTCACTATGTAAGATACAGAAATAATTTTTTTAACTGACTTCTTCCATAAGAATTGTTAGAGGAATCAGCTTAAAACATCCAATCTAACTTCCAACATTATTAATGTGCACTCTTCTAGTTTAGGTGACTTACTTAGCTATCATCAAGGGGATGTAGGAAAAATGCAGGTCTGTAAGCAATTATCGTGTCATTTGTTTGGCTGAGATTTGGGTAATTTTGCAACCCTAGCATATCCTTTTCTCATGTCAGACATTATTTCATCTCCATGAGATGTACTGTGATCATACTTAAAGACTGACACACTTGTTAAAATGCAGCTGTACCTTTCTGTGCAAGCTGTTGGAAAGCTATCGTGTAATGGAGATTTAAGGTATACCACCTTTTGGAAGACTGAACTTCTTTTCAAACTTTTTAACCTTCAAACAGCATCGCACATTTCAAGAACTAAATGACTTCAAGTGGAAACAAAATAAGCATTTTCTTTCATTTTACTGTTTGTTTATTTTAGCCCACTTGGTAGCACTTAATTCTTGGTTTCAGTGCTTGGTTATGCTTCCTGTCTCTCTTACCAGCGTGATCATATGCACTGTTGGTATCACTCGTATCGTTCCTTGCACTTGCCATTAATACAGCAGCAGAATTGTTTGAAACCCCAGGAAAGAGCCAAGGAACTGTCAGAGATCTGTTCTCAATACACCAGTCATCTTTACAGAGCTGTGCTAGTGAGATGCCTTAGTCAGGCTGCAGGAATGGTGTCACGTGGAAACAACGATCCATCCTTCCTTTCTCAGGTCCTTGCCCAAAGCCTGGGGTTCAGGCAGGAGAGGGAAGCCCCAACTTAATTCCCTCTTTCACTGATACACCAGTGCACGTCCCATCGCCTTGCTCCCAAGGCTTTTTTTTCAGGGAGCCGCCAATTCAAAAGGAAAGTAGTTGTTAGCTTGTTTCTCATGAGACTGAAAAAGGAAGAAATAGCTGAAGTATGTATGCGAACACATGCACGTCTCACTCCGCACCCGCTCTTTGGTGGAACTAGGAAGCATCTGCCAGGTGGAGTAGGAGCAGCTTGTCTGTAGTGTGCTTTTGCACAGCAAGGGGCTGTGAGCTGTCTTGCCACACACTCCAGCTGTCCCTGGCTATTTGCATGAGACTTTCACGCTGAAAAGCAAAGGATGGAGGTTAAACAAATAACTAGCTAAATCTGCTCAGAGGGATTTTCTTTTCTAATTGCAAGATAACAAGTTAGTTAAAAGCAAATAACTCAATTTCTTACACTTGATTTTTTTCTAGTTATTCATACCCATTTAGTGATTGCAAAAATAAACATGTTCCTTGTGTTTGTTTCATGTCCTAGGAGACAATTGGTGAACCTTTCTATTTGCTAGTGACAACCCTCAATCAGAGGATAAACAAAGGACCTGTTGACGCGATAACTTGCAAAGCTCTGTACACGCTTAATGAAGACTGGCTGCTGTGGCAAGTGTCTGAATTCAAAACAGTGGTATGTTTGCCAGTTTGTGTTCCTCCAAACACGGACAACTACAATGTTTTCTCTTTTTCTAGAAAGCTAAATTAAGGCTCTTAGACACTAAGGTCATGGTTAAGTACCCAGATAATAAAATTGTTGTTGCTGACAAAGTTTCAAAATGCAATGGAGTTTAACTAGCTGGTATTTCACCAATATACATTTCACAAACAGTACTCACTCCTCGCTTCACAGCATGCCTTAATCGCCAAAGGTTAGGTTTAATGAAGTCTCAGGGTATTAAAATTCCTTCTTATTTTAAAGTGTGCTACAAAAATATAAACATACAGCTAGAATTTAAACTAAATTACGCTTTTCTGATGAATTAAAGAATGGAATGCAGAGATTTTATTTTTCTATTGTGTTTACTTGTGGCTAATCTTCAGGCAGCAATAATTTGCTGTGGGTTTCCATGTTATTAGCTCCAAATTAGCTCCAAATTAGCAAGGTTACGGTGTGGTGGATTTTAATTAGTTGATTGGCTAAAACCAAGATATCTGGTAAGCCTAGCTCAGTTTCTGAACTTTACCATAGATTTCTTGCCTTTCTCAAAGCAGCTACAGAGGGCTTCCTATTTTACAGTTGCACCCAGAATTCTTTGAAAGCTGGGATTCCGTTACTGATTGTCATTCTGAAACTGAGGGGAGAAGGGACAGCAAGGATTATTGCACTTTGAAGCATGTAAAAATTGTGACTTTTTGAGTAGGACACCTGAAAAAGGTTTTCATAATAACCAGTGTACATTTTTCCAGAATTTCCAAATGAATTTGAATCTAAGAACTTAAAAATCTGCATTTCCAGTAATTTCCATAGCTTCCTTGCTTCTTACCTCCTGGATTCTTATCGGAGTTACCAGACATACTTAGGAGTGTGAAAAGTGTGACTGAATAGTGGGCTTCAGATCATGGGAGCAGAAACTGCCAGGGCAGCAACTGTCATAGCAGGGACGCTGCAAGTGCTGGTGGCTTTGGAGGAGAAATCAGGCCTTTTTCAGAGCCCATATCCTGAGCCTCAGGTAGGGCTGGAGCTTCCAGGTCTGTGCAGCAAGAACCTGGAGGTCCTAAGATGCCAGATACTGGAGTAGTCTACATGACCCTGGAAATTTTGGCTGGTCAGCAATCTGTTGGACTCAGCTCACTGCGTCGTATGACCGCCTTTCTGTGAAACATTTCTGAATTGTTATTTTCTGCTGCAAGCTCTTGGATTGACAACGTTATAGTCAAATCTTCTCAGAGCTGTTTACAAAGCTGTTGTTGGAAGGTTCATTTGAAGGTACTTCAAGCTAAGTTACCACTGTGTGCATTTAGAAAGGAAGTTTGTGACTAAAAATTAAACACATAATGCCGTGTCTTTGGTTTTCCTTGTTTGTGCGCTGCATTCTGGCATGCGTTTGGGCTCCAGGGTAAGTTTAAATAGATTGCTATATATAGCCATAGGATACAAAACCCAGTAGTTATGCAGAGCAACAATTTTCAAGCAAGCTCAATATGCCTGTTACTAGTAGACTGCGCAGGAACAGCTGGTCTTGTGGAATTGATTGACTTTTCTTATTTATAGCACAAATTTAAATTGAGAGCACCTTGGGGGGACAGCTGACTCTGAAACTGCTGAACACTGCCTTAAATACTTTTCCCAGTGCTACATCTAGGCATGCAGTTGCTGATAGGGTCTTATGGGCAGCCTGCAGTGGAGAGAGGGGAAGTGGTTGGAAGGACTCTATCAGTGGGAAGGCTGTTTGCAGATGGATGAGGAAGTGAGAGAGCAGATAGCCTTTCTCAAACGTTATTTGCTGCCTTTGTGTTCCTGCTTTTAAATAGGGGATAATGATACTGTTACAGGGTTAATAAGTCACCTTTCCCCACTGAGGTCCAGCAGTTTATTGGACTAGTTGAGAGGTGGCTGAATGTTCCCTTTAAAAGTCTCCAGAAAAGGAGAGAGGATCCTGCAGTAAAATTAGAGAGATGGAGCCCAAGGACTGTAGCTCTGGCTGGACAGGGAAACAGTTTTGTTTGGTGTTTTGTCTAAGATTTACACTGGAAACTAAAACTGTGCTGTGAAAGAGATTTAGGTGGAACAGTGAGGCTTTCTGGGCTGGGGAAGCAGGCCAGCTGTGCAAGCTTTCTTTTCAAGAATAGCATTTAACAGGATACTAAAGTGGAAAGAGTCAGCTTTTCTTCTGTCACTAACACCACTTCACAAGCACTGCAATGACATGCAGGACTTGTGAGCACACAAACAGGGAACCAAGTATTTTCTCCTTTCGTTGGAAGAAAATTTCTGCCTAAAGGATTGCAGGTTTTGTTTTCTAAAAGGAGTAAGTTCTGAGCTGAGTTTTCAAATGCATTTGCACATTTTCTCACTGCAATTACATTCTGAATCTTGCAGTATTCTGTTGGTATTTTATTTTGTCCCTTTCCACAGCCCCACAATAGCAGTACATTAAAGCTTACCTGTCCAGAGCAAAGTATAAAAGCATAGACAAAAAGAGGACGATAGATACTGAAGCACATCTGCAGACACTCAGTGTCCAGATTTTTCAGGTGTGTAGGCACTTGAGGACACAGACTGGTATCTGGTAGGGAGTTCAATTCTCAAATCAGTGGCAGAGCACAATCAAAGGTGTAGGCACTCTGCATCCGAATCTCTCCTTTCAGGATTGGGACTTAAGTTCCAAACCAATAAAAGCAGGATACAGACAGGCTCCTAAAAATCAGGGGTAGCTCTACAGGTCTTCTCCTAAACATATCACTATGCAGATAAACTCTTGGGGCAGGAGAAGGAAGAAGTGCTGGGCATAGAGAAAGAAGGAAGGATGGGAGATACTTCCTAAAATTCAGGCCATTTGTAACAAGAAAGAAAGAGAACTAAGAAACATGTTGGTTTTGAATTGTATTAGAGCTGTCCCTTGGCCGGCCCCCATGTCTTTTTTAAAAGGCCACTGACCTTGGGACCAGCCAGCCCCCTACTGTTACCCCTCTCTGCTGGAAGGGGTCAGATATTGAACAGAGATAGGCTGCTGAAGTAAATACTCAAGCACAGGAATTGAAGGAAAGATGTTTCTGAAAGCACTGGTCCAGTATGAGCTGAGGAGCTGTGTGGTTTCATGCTGTGCTTATATTTGAATACTGAGAAATAAAACTGCCTTGAAAGAGACTTGAATGTGTCATGGAGCCTTTTCGCAGGCTAAGGAAGCAAGCCTGCTTTCTCACAGGCAGACAAGCAGCTGCACCCCTTGGTGGATAATTTCCTCCGGGGCTGATGAAGAAGCACGGTGCACAGCTGAGTGTTAGCATTTCACTGAGGCATTTCATTTTAAATAGAAAAGCTACACAATGCCAGCCTGGTGTGGGAGAAATTCTCTGTGGAATATCTCCTATGGAAAATCAGGGGAGACTTCTTCATGTTGTAGACTTGATGCTTGGGCATTTAAGAGCTACAAACTTCTTTCAAATGATCACTGCTTATTTTAAAAAAGGCATTTGGGCTGTCAAATTCTTTGCTGAAATGAATTTGCATTTTTAGATGGGAAGAAATGATCTGATTCACCTGTTCAGCCAACAGCCTTTTATTGAAAGTGAAGCAAAGCCACGTGATGGAAGGTTGTTTAAAGTGTTCAACTGCCTTACGAGTTAAAAGAAGGGTGTTAAAAGGAGTGGGAGGGCTGTAAGGGAGTAAAGCAGAGGCAGGGAACCCAATTTCCTAGTAAGATGCCATGGTTGTGGTATTATTAGGCACACTTTGTGAGAGATAAGGAAGCTATTAAAAGCATCTGACATATGGGGATTTTCGTCAGCAGAAAAGGACGCAGCAGCCCTTGCTAGGGAGCGAGCAGTGCAGATGTTGGCTACAGGAGAGTCTTCTGAATTACATACAGATTGAGTACCATATTGTAACATCAAGAGTACAACCCTTGCTTTGCATAGCGCCCATGCCCATCTAGCCTAAATTTAATGCCTGTATCATTTTCTATGCCAATTTGTTAGCTTTTTATAACCTCTTCATGGGTAACTTCTGGCTGCTACAGAAGGATCATACAATCAATCCGATTTTTCCTGTTTATTGCTTTTTGTAGTCTGGGAGACAGAGGTGTGGGTTTAAGGCAGTTTAGTTGTGCTGTGTGTCATGGGGCTGTCTCCTTTACATAATTCTCTAACTTTTACCAATCACAAGTTTTTCTTGTTTTTTTCAGTCTGTCTGATAAATGGAAATATGCTTTGTTCAGATGCATAACTGAATAGAGAACAGGGTAATGAATAAGAGCCCTTGAATTCTTTTCTTTTAAGGAAATCTGGTATTATCACATTTCTTTGTTAAACCACATCTCATTTATTATCTGCTATGGTTATTAATAGCTTTACTAAATAATCATTGTTTGAAATTCATTTTCAAGAAAACTACAAATCTAAAAAAAAAATCTGTAAACATTGTCTTCAAATGCCGTTATTACTGTCACTGCATGAGTGAAAAAATGTTTTTAAAATTTGTTCCTGTCTTTTAGCTAGGTTCCAAGCCAGTTTCTATACAAGTAGTTGCAGACACTTGCCGCCTTCTCCTTAAGTAGCCTTTAACAATTCTTGCAACCTGCGTTAAGCCTTTGCTGAAGAGCACTGTGACTTTGTGTTGCTAACCACTAATTTCTAGTGCATGAGATCTCAACTCTAGATATTACTAGGTTGAACCACATGTCCTGTAATTTCTTCCTGAATCTTTCCCATTTGTTTCCTTTGCAAAGTGAGAGCTTAAAAAAAGGCCTGATGATGTTTCCTTGTGACTACCATGTGTCTTCCTGTGATTTCTCTTAAATGTTTTCTGACCTTCAGAGCTGATCATAAAAGGGCTTTCATAATTTTACACTCATTTCTGATTCTTTCTCCAGTTCTACACTTTGTGTCTAAATGCAGTGACTGTGACTGTCAGCTTCTGATTAATCGTTTCTAAAGCCAGGGATTGTGCTGTCAGACAGGTTGCATCTGATTTATGAAAACTTCAGCTACAGAGGGAAGACATAATAATAATTGGCTTTCCTAGCTCCCCATCAATTGCTTCATCACTTAAGATTAACTTCTGCAGGAAATCATATCAGCAAACCTGTATGGCTGTCTTGGTTTACAGACTTTTATGCATTTAAATATTTCTTCCCATCTGACCACTTCTTTGAGTCATAAGTTGTTGTTATTATCCTCACATTGTGGATATTTTTGATTAAGGAGTCCATAGATGACTTGCATTCCACCTACATAACGGACTACTACTCTCTTTTCACTGTCCTGTTATCCTACAATGAGTTGAGCGGGGATGGGAGGACTCTCACATGCTAATAACTGAAGGGGCTGCACATTTATGTGCAATCTGTGTGAGACCATGTGCTGAAAGGAAATGCAGCAGAGAAAAAGTTTCTCTTGACAGTCTGAAAGGAAGAGGAAATGAAGGTGATGCAGAAACATGAATATTGCAGTGTAGGAATAATGTTAGGAGGAAAGGATCAACTAAAGGAAGGAATGCTTCCAAAGATGTAAAGACAAATCAGCAACAGTTAAAGAGTGAGTAACTACTCCTGAAAGATCAGTTCAGAGACTGGAAGAGACAAAGACTTTGATTAAAATGAGTTTTTCAAAGACAAAATACAGTTAGTCACTGTCCACATTTTTATCCTACGAGACCATGACCTCAGGGCAGTCAAAGTCAAGGACAGGACTGTTGTCTGTTCAGTGGGTCTGTGGGCCTAACCAAGCATGACTCCCTCATTCCTGTGCCAATATATTTTTTACTAATTTTCCGCATGAAATCCCAACCCGAGGCATGACATCCAGTCTGCTTCTCCTTCTGCAGGCACCATTCCTGCATCTCCTCCTCTTCTGTTCCGTCTGTCCTTTCCATGGACTCATTTTCCTCACAATTAAACATCTCAGTGTCCTGACTAACTTATTCTCCGTTACTTCAGTTACATCCTAGTCTTTGTTAAATCCTGATTTTCATAGTTTTGCAAACCTGTTTTGCTCCTTTGGCTTCTGTAGAAACAGTAAAGTTAATTTATGTCTCATTGGACTACTTTTTTTCACCACCACTGTGTCATAATTTCCATTCTTGCTGGGTAATAAAGCAGAAAATAGCATTCTACAACTATTAATAACTGCCCATTTTTCTAAGAAGAGAGAAAAGTTGCCCCTGCAGCAACCTGGACAGAAGTTCTCTCCTTCACATGACAGCAGGGAAAAAAAAAAAAATTTAGTTGCTTCCTCTTTTAACAATCACTCCTTCACTGAGTCACACCTGCAGTGCTCACATTTCAGTCAAAAGATATGTATTATACCAGAAATGTCCAACAGCCAGAATGGTTCGAATATGTAGATTTTCCTATGCCACTTGCAGTCAAGTGCTGACAACTTAAACGTTTGTTTTAATTCTGTCGCAAGACATCTGCAGCAGAATGTCTGTATCCATGTAGCTGAACAGTGATGTCTCTGCAAGGAGCAGGCTGCGGCACTGGAAATGAGTGCTGTTATCACTCGGGATTAGCAATCCTGTGCTCATCCCTTTTCCCTGCCTTTTGGAAGTGGTTGATCTGCCTGACCTGACCAGAAATACGACGTGACTAAAAATGTTCCCTGGAGATGGTCACCCAGTCTCATTGGCACCTCCCTCTAGCCCATACTTGCCTTTGTATGCAGCCCAGCAGATGAGCTGTGTCCCAGCCAAGAGTAGTGGCTGTGAGCTAAAGGGCAGGGCTGTTGTAACTGGACAGGTTGGGTGGATGTTTGACCTGGAGTAATAACTAGCAGAATAAATCACACTTTTCTGTGCAGATCTGGACCACTTTGGGTGCTGTCTGCTGCAACAGGCTTTCCCTTTCCACTGCTTCTGCAGCAGCCCCATCTCTGCTGCCTCTAGAGACATGGCTTTATGCAGACAGACTCTGACATCTCCAGGGGAGGCGTTTTTTTTTTCTGTATGATACAAGGTACTCGGCATAATCTGCTGGTGTAAATATGCATTTTAACACTGCTTCCTATCCACTCAAAATCAGTCAGGCTTACCATGGCGACTTACTTAGCAACCTTATCAGATCTCTAGTAGCTTACAGTTTTGCTTTTAAGGCATTCATTTTAAATAAAAGATCTGCTTTTTTTAGAACATGCATTGTAATTTTTCATGGTCTCTTGTCTTTTTTTTTTTTTTTGTAATTCACTGAAATAGATGCATAAAAGCAGAATACAAAATGCACTTTTGGAAATATATAGCTGTATATCTTTGATTCTTCAGACACGGGAGTTCTAACTGCTTCATTGTATAATTCCTTCAAATAATCTTCATTCGAAATAGCTTTAATAATAAATATGCTGATAATGTCTCAGGTTTGCTGTCAGGAGTTTGTAGGTTTCCCATGCCAGGTCTTCCCTGTAAGTCAGAATAACGTGTTTCTTTCCCCAGACAGTGAACATTATCTTTGAAAAAATCTCAGAAAATGAGAGTGGAGATGCCTGTCAAACTATCCAAGTTAATGTTCTGGACTGCGACACCATAGGCCAAGCCAAGGAGAAGAGCCTTCAGGCTTTCCTTAATAAGAATGGCTTTCTCTATGGTCTTCAGCTGGATGAAATTGGTCTTGGTAAGAGAGTGTCACTGTGTTATATTCTCATGGAGTTCACTGGTCTGTCCATGGGGTTTTCTTTTTAGGAATTCCTACCTCAGCTTTGATTTTTTTTTTTAGCATTTAGGCAGAACATAGCTTTTGTAAGGAATTTCTGGGGAGATACTACATCATTTATGCCATCAGTTAGAACATTGGAACTACATCTGCAAGGACTTCAGCATGCAGTTAACAAACATATGTTATTTATTGAACACATATAATTTACATGTTCCTCTTCTGGGTTAAGTAAGGTGGCCTGTCCACCTGAGTACAGCTGGATGATAAATTTTGTCAGTGGGTAACATGACACATCATGATTACCAAGTACTTTAGTCCCTACTTGCTGTCCCTCCCACTGCCCTTCCTTCCAAGAGGCCTACGTTTCCCTTGATCAGAAGAACCCAATAAATATAGTTTATTTACAGTCAGATTAGGTTTCTGTAATAGTTTGCATGTTACTCACAAAGATATGTACAATATCTACAGATGTAAATAAGGCCATTTGAGCAGATGAGTCAAGCCACCTTTTCCTGTTGGGTTTCCAAAAGCTCAAGGTCAGAGAAAAGCCTGCCACCATACCACTTCCCAGGTGCTCCAATAGGAAATCAAACAAACTCGACATTGTTGGCATTTGTCACCTCCCAGACTTGCTCCGTAAGATGTTGATATTTCCTCACCTTCTTAGACGCTATGTTGGCAAGTGATGATAATTTACTCTCATACCTGGTGGTTATACCCACCACCAGTGCCTGACCACCGTTCACAAATACTGTGTCGGTCTTGTGCAGCTCATTTTGGTGATCTCTTAGAAGTGGCTTGTGAAACCTTTCTTCTAGTTCCAACGTGGCCATAACACCAGGGCACGCTTGTGCTACAGAATAGCTAAATTAGGTAAAACACCTCCAAAAACTCTGCCCTGACCAACACAAAGTAAAGCACCAGCAGCCTGCAGTAATGGAAGCCATGCAGGTTGTCACCTCAGGAAAGGAATCTGTAGTGCAGGAGTGCAAAACCACTCCCACGTGAGCTCACACAAGGATAGAGAGAAACAGAGCTCAGTTGGGAGCCACTGGTCCAAATATAATTATGTGTTGCTTTTCTTTACAAACATCTGTACAGTGAGAATGCCATTAGGATGTAATTGTTTTCTCTTGCTGTCGTACTGCAGAACTTGTGTCTGAGGAGCACCAAAGAGAATTATTAGATATTGATGGTTCCTCAGAGGTGATGGAGGATGGGATAAGGAAGCTAAATACCATCGGTCATTACGAGGTAAGCACAGAAGCCATACCAATGAATCAAGAAGCAGTTTCTCCCAACTCCCAAATGCTCTCTGCACAGAAGTATCTTGATTGATCAAAATCTTGAACAGATAGCTGAGCATCATCAACAGAAGGAAAGAAATGTGACACAACTTCCTTGCTAATGAGTCATATGTTTTCTGTTACTTTTCAGAGGTTTGCTTGTTGCAGGGTTGCTTGGTTCAGGCATACCAGGTAAACTGTCTCTTCAGTTGAGCATTTCAGTTAAAAGAGCATCTGATTTCCAACTATGAACATTGCCTTGAGTCTTTTCTAGTCTCTGCTGCTGAGTTTTTGTTGCACCATGAGCAACTGTTTACCTCTTCCCACCTCATATTTTGATTATCTGAGCAGGTGGATGTGATACTTGTGAAAGCTCATTGAGAGTCAGAATAAAAACGACTGATGAATTTGCTTGCTTTTCTTTTGACAGCTTCCCTTTTTCTCTCTGTTTCTGCTTCCATCAGCTGGCACCACTTGCACCCTAATTTTTCTCTTCCACTTCCAATTGCACCTGTAAACCAGTCCTTTTCAATGCCACAATAATCTGTCCATCATTGCAACAGACAGGGCCGCAGCTGGTGGCAGAGTCCTTCTGGGTGTAGCACGTTGCAAAAGCATCGTAAGCAGCACTGCCTGTCTAAGGAGTTTCCGCTGACACTAGTCAGAATAGAGGGTGAGAGGCTGGGGTAAGATGTGCAGCAGATGATTGGCTTCACGTGATATGGTAGCTCGCATTTTGGTGCTTACAGATAGATTTTGGAAATGAAGTTAGTATTCTGAGTGCTTTTACTGAGTTTTTTTCATACCTTGTTGTTGAATTTGAAAGTCCGGCTCTCAACACGATAATCAGTTTTTATTTCTTTAGAAGTTTTGCTGATGAGCATAGGTCTGTGTCACGCAATGCAGTTACGGTGCTGAGAAACCTAAGCCAGCCCTGAGCACATTGCTGTCTGCATGAGCAAGTGCCATCCACAGAGAGGAACAAGGACTCCTAGCAGGACTCTTTGTAGCTTGGGCACAGCACAAGGCTGCATATATCTGGAGCAAGCTCATTTGGAGTCATTTTCAGATTTCTGTAGGCGTTTTGTTGCTCTCCTTACCTCCCGGGGAGGCAGCAGTGAACCCAGATGTCCTGAGTCACCGTCCAGTGTGTTAAATACAGCTTTTCCTGTGCTTCTCTTGAATCTTGTCTATAGATTAGCGTGGGACTTCACTCCACTTGTAACGATTTTGTACAAATTAGGACATTGTAGTGTTGCAGTCAGAATCTATGCAGCAATGGTCAATGTGGATTTGAATCTGATTAGATATTTGAATTTCTGGCCAATGTGCCTGCTCTCCTTACTGCAGGCAGCTATTGCAAGTGCTCCCTAATTTTACCTGGCAGCTGTTTGCACTTCCTGAGCTCGTGGCATGCCACGGCTCATGGGTGCCGTAGCTCATGGCAAATGAGTCTGCTCCAGTTGGTCACTGTCATCCCTGGATATCTTTGTCCCAGCCCTTGTTTTCATCTGAGGTTTCTGCAGGCAGATGCAAGTTAGGTTGGAGGTTCAGTTGTTTTTGCAAAGCTGTAACTACACTAATTATAGCTGAGCAGCTGCCTTATGGAAATTGTGCCGGGTATCTCTGCTAGATATTTTAGTTCACTTTTTCTGACACTGACAAAATAACGTACATTTTAGGCAGAAGTTTAGCAGCAGTTTAGGCAGTGGCTTAGTGGCAAGTATCAGCCATTAGCATATCATCTAGTTTATTTTCTGTATGCATATTAATGCAAAAAGGAACGTAAAGGTATCTAGTTAGCAAGAAAAGGGAACATTGCATACACGGTGTGAGGGTAGTCACGTTGCCTGAGGAATTCCAGCTTAGATTTCAACAGTGCCTAGAGTTTTGTGGCAAGCCTGGATTTTTGTTTGTTTGTTTGTTTGCCAGCCTTAATTGCTAGAAAGTAACCAGATTTTTGAAACTGGGAAGTACTGTCAAATCTTTTTAAGATACTGGAGCACAAGGGTTGTGTTGTAAAGGTCTCAGAATCACCAACCACTCTTGAAAAAGCAGACTTAGTTTCTACACTGATTTTTAAAATGTGCGAGTTGGGGATGTTTGCATTTTTGTGTGGTGTTTCTGAAGGAAGAAAAATCCATTGTACTCTTATTAGACTTTCATGCGTCTCTGATTTATGTGCCCTTTCGCTCTAATTTTTCGCTCCTAGCGGCGTTATTGATGTGACTATTTATGAAGTCTGAGCTATTGTTCGCATGAGAATAACCACAAGCCTTGACAAGAAAGTTCCTGATTATCGTGATGTCCTATTTCCCATGCAAGAAGAAAGCTAGAGAACCGCAAAAAAACAGTCACAGATCTCAAATCTCTCAACCTGTAGCAGCATCATACATTCCAGGAGCAGGCACAGCCCCAGAGAGCAAATCTGAATGTGTGATCTGAATGTGTGACCAGAACTGGATTATAGGGAGGACAGGAGGCCTGGAGAACGAGGAAGAGGTGTAGAGCTACACTACTACATCTTCTGTTTTGCAAAGCAGCTGTAGTCCGCGTTGTATGGATCTGAACAGATCTCCCCTCTCCCTGTTTGTCCCCCTCAGTACTGCACCTGACAAAGTGAAGATGCCCATGGGAGCAGCACCATGAAAAGTGATTTAGCCAGCAGGACCCAAAAATAAGCTTTTTTTTTTAATGGATCTGAAAGAAACAGCAAGTATGGCTAGTGCAGTAATGATAAAGAAAGGAAAGCATGTTCTACTCAGTGCTAAAAGCAACATTTGTCCCAGAAATAAAACCCAAAGTGAGGGCTTGGATCACGGCTGCACTGCACAATGCCTCTGGTTCCTGGAGGGGAGCACAGTTCTCCCTCCGAGCTGTGCCCATCTCCCTCAGGACAGGAGCTGACACATTTCAGCATTGAGCTGCTCTCCTGCTTCTTGGAGAGGCATTGTTCATGCCACTCTGGGAGGGAGTAAGCTGCTGGGTAGCCCTGTTCCTGTTTACCTATCTTCAGGGCCAAGTAGGAGGACTCTTGTTCTCTCTGGGTGTTTGTGTCACCTCACAAGCTAGCCTCAGAGCATATTCCCACTTGTAGCGTGGTTTTAAAAAGTGCTCTGTGTTATCTGAAAGAGCTATGAAACACTGTATGATAAATGGAAACCCTGCAAAAAATCATATTTATAAAATAGATTACATTTACTTTCTAGGAGCAAGTGTAAGTAAGTGCAGATTTCTTGGCGCAAGACACAGCTTTTGATAGAGTATCTTAATGTTTAAACTGGTTTCTCACACCGGGCTGGCTGCCAAGGTATAAAAAACTCTTAAATTATTCTGGCAGAGATCCTTTCCTAGAACTGGCCAGTTGTTTTTGTAATTACAGAGGAAGTACACTAGCACTTGGCAAGACCCAACATTTGACAGCAGAGCACTGGTGTAGTTCTCAGTGGGAGCTGTTTTTGAGTTACTCTTTGACAATAAAAGCATGACTTGCCGGTTTCTTTTAAAGATAATAGTTACTCTACTGGCAGCACTATAAATTGAGGAAAGGAGGGGAGAAGATTCTTCCTAGAAATCCCAAGGCGGCTAGATGTGGATCTTGACCTTACAGTTGCCGGGGCTGTAAATATTTTGCTTCCTTTGGGAACTGAAGTTTGAAAATAGTTCTTGGGAGGACCAAGCTAGACCCTCAACATGGCCCCTCTGTAGGGCATGGGGAGAAAGCGCTGGAATGGACTGAGCTGGAAGAAATGGGACCAGAAGAGAAATCATTCCTGTGTTCTCCTCTGTGTTTCACCTTCCTGCATTGGAGCCAGGGAATTCAGCCTGGTCAATCTGTAGAAAGATGGGTGCAAGAAGCAGAACAAAGCAGTAGGTGAAAATGAAAATATCCAGATGAGGCTGAACCAGAAAAATCAAAGAAAAGGAAAGGCCTTAAGGGCTGGGTTGTCAGAAGCACTGCCTTCCCACCTTGCCAGGTAAGGCTAACAAACTGCAGGTGCCTGAAAGCCCAGACCTGGCTACCTGCTGAGACCCCTGCACACTGTGCTGAGAACAGAACGAGCTGGCATGCTCCTGTGCTGCCATCAACTTAAGGACAGAGGAAATGAAACTGAGGGTTTCATGAATTCTAGACACTTGTTTCAGCAAGCTATGTTTGTTTTTCACTTTCAGATTTCAAACGGAGCAACCATAAAAGTCTTTAAAAAGAAGACAAATACCCAATCAGGTAACAAAGGAACTGCAGTCTATTTAATCTTACATGGGTAATGGGCTGGGAATGCAGACAGCTGAGCTATGACAGGCTGTATCTTGGTCAAAGGAGGTCAGAAAAATTGGCACTTTGATATAGCTGAGCCAAATGAAGAGCAACATTTGCTCTTCATTTGCCTGACTCTTGGCCTGGAGCAGGCACAGTGGGCCTAGGAGGAGGGAAGAAGGCACAGGAAAGGAGGACAGAAGGACTTAGAGTCCTTGGCAAGTGAATGTGCTTAAAGATGCACACTCATAGGCAGGAAATGACGGCAGGGAAGCCCGGGTGACACAAAGCACTGACTGGTGAGACCAACAGAGGGAACATGCCCTGGTCTGGCGTCTGGCGTTGTGTATCACGGGCACAGAGGTGCGCTGTCCAGAGACAGGCATACCAAAAAAACCACAGTTTTGGAATTTTCCTTATTCTCTTGACTGTGTTTCTGAAAGCTTTGACTTGGCTGTCTCACCAGCAGGGCAGGAGTTAAAGAGTGCTTACAAGGTGGTCAGTTCATCTCGTACCCCTGTGATGCAAGTTGCTCCAACCCAGCCAGTGCCTCAGGGGAGGTGGACTTTCGGTTAGACCCTGGGGAGAAAAAGACACTCCTAGTGTATGATTCACCTCATCGTCAAAGTGGACATCTAAAGTTAGGAGAGATGTGTCCTTGAGGTACAAGTCACTGGGATGGCATTGCTCTCTCCCTTGGCAAGAACAGGGTTGTCCGTTCTCAGCCGTTGCCTTCAAGACCTCAGCCCACCTGTGCTGAGTAGTCTTAACAGACACTAAACCAATGCAATCATCTCCTCTGCTGTCTGTCATCCTCCTTTCCGAGGAGCTGTGATTTGCTGCCAGCTTACTCCAGCAGCAGCAGATGATGCCCTAGCTTAGTGGTCCAAGCTACAGGCTGGCACTGGGGAGGTGAGCCAGGACCTGTGTGTTTCTCAGAGGCTTCCCCCACACTGCAGGCAGGAAAGGGTAACACCAAGCCTGCTTGCTTGGCATCCTGACATGCACCCCACTGCACAGCCCAGAGCTCAGCAGAATTCACAAGCTTGTAGCTGTGCATTTCGTTAATGCCTGTTTGCTCTCTGCTTTCTGTTGTTTAGATGTGGACTACTCGGATGAACACTGTCATTTGGTGAGTTCAGTCATTACACTGTTAAGTGGTAGATTTAATACTGAGCTGTATTTGTATCTGTATCTGTATAATCTCTCTAATCTCTTCATGATAGATTTTACCGGACTCTGAAGCAAACAAAGATGTGAAAGGAGCAGGTCACAAAGGAAAGCAAAAATTCAAAGTGAAAGAAATGTATCTGACAAAGCTTCTGTCGACCAAGGTAAAATGTAAAAGCCTTATTTTGGGGGAGGGCCGATGTTAGGCTTGGCTAGTTTGGCACAACAGAAATAGAAATTAAAGCAGAAAGTATGCAGACTTCCTGCATGTGTATCAAATGTTAAATAAAAAGGTAGTCTATAAGAATCACTGTGCTAACTATGGATTATGACCATTTGCAAAGATGGCCACATTGCAGACTTTCTAATGCTAGAGTTCTAAAATTGTCTATTACTTGCACTCTCTATCTCCTCAGTAAGCACAATCTTTCTTCTCAGGTTAAAGAAAAAAAGTAGTTATCGAGCTTATAGAAAGTGAGTTTTGCCACTGAGTCCCTTAGAGTGAGAATGATCCTTTCTGGAGAGACAGCTTTCCATCAGCAATCTCCTCACTCTCTGCTAGAGTTTGCCCAGCTTAGAGACAACTTCCAAGAGCTGAGTTTCACAAAATACTGCCCACGAAACGAAATAATCTTTTAGGGTCTCAAATTAAGTATCCAAAAGAACTAGATTAATTTTAAAAACAAAGTCCTTAGGATTTATAATGCGATTACCTAATTTATACAGTGCACATTCCTTAGGAATAAGCCCTGCTTACTCCTTGTGGTAATGTCATCTTGTTTCTGACTTACTCGAACGGGTTATAAAGCTCTTTGCAACAGCATATGACTTAAAATATTAATCATTGCATGACACTGAGAGCTGTGTGATACAAGAGGCCTGAAGGTATGATGATTATGGCCTTCCTGCATTTAAAAATCTATCAATCATTATTTAATTAGATTGTTGATAGCATCTGAAGTAATTTGGGACACTACCGAAAGTGGGAGTGAAGACTGGTCATTTCTCATTAGCTATGGAAACTAATATAAGCCCTTAGGAACTGCAGGAGTAAACCAGTAATATCTTATAGTGGAAGACTGAAGTACAAAAGAAAAGATCAGGCTAAGGAACAGTCCTTTTAAAGGGCTTTAAATTAATAATCTCCTCCAAAGTAGGATAGTGCTCTGAACAACAGTGCTGTGATGTCCTTCACTCTGAAATTCCACCCATGATACGCTGTGCACTAAAGGAAATTGCATTGAACCGCAGCTCTCCCTCTCTCTCTCACCCATGCATGCACACAGACACAATTGCAGAGTTTGTCACTTTGAACTGAACTGGCCAGTAATGCATCAACGCCCTGGGATACATTTAAATCCTTGTTGAGAGAAGACTGGGCTGAACTGAGCTTCAGAACAGATGTGAAGAAAAAAAGCACAAAACAGTGTTTTCTTTTGTTTGCCTCTACTTATGATTACTCTGTGATGATGTCAGTGAGACCATCAGAAACCAATCCCTTGCTTTTGCGAGTCAAATAACTTCACTTCTGGATCAGAAATACCCAGTTTCCAGTTCTCTCTAATATTAGTGTCTTTGTATGCCACCCAAAGCTGTTATCCCAGAATGAGATCAAGCGTCACAGTCACTTGGCTGTGGAGTGTTGATGAGCATGTATGTTCAACGTGTGTCTCAGATGGCACCATGAAGACCAGTACCTTAGAAAACCGGTTAAACTCCTTTTGCTGACGTCCCTCTCACTTCCAGTCACAAGTTCCAAATGCCTTTCGCAACGATGCCAGCAGTATCCGAAGAGTTGATGTTGTCTTTGTTCAGGAAACTCAACGCGTGATTCCTTCCACCTACGATTTATCACAAAGCTCACCACAATTCTCCTGTCAGTAAAGTGATAAAACATGTGACATTTGAAAGCAGCTCATTATGGTTCATTTGCAGTTTCATTTTTGTTATTGACTGTTTTGTTTCCCAATAACCTATGGCCCAGATGTTTGCCACAAGAGTACTGTAGTTTCTGTGTGTGGTTGCCTTGGGGCACGCTCAGCTCTCTAAGACAAGAATTCCTATTTCTTGTGCAATAACAGCACCATTCATTTTCTTACTTTTCAGGTTGCAATTCATTCAGTTGTTGAAAAGCTCTTTAGGAGCATTTGGAGTTTACCTAACAATAAAGCACCTGTTGCCATCAAGTACTTTTTTGACTTTCTGGATGCCCAGGCTGAGATCAAAAAAATTACTGACCCGGATGTGGTCCACATATGGAAAACCAACAGGTATGGCCGTACGATACACGCAGGAGTGCACACGCTCTCTGAAAATGTAGTTGCAAAGATGGAACAGGTCACCTGGGACGAGAAGAATTAAAATTTTGGCATGGGTGGGTGAAGATGTGGTTTGGCTTTGTGGATCCCAGTAATTTTAGTAGATTTATTGGATACCAATACAAACCACGACAGCTTCCAGGACTTCTGAGTCTGCATCCGGACTTCTGAGTCTGCATCCTGACTTCACATTCAGAAAGAAGTATCTACAGGTTGAGAGCATTATTTGAAGATGAAGGAGTGACTGCCTGATGTGTTTGCACTGTAGCCTTTGTTCCCTGATCCCTTTTTTAACAGGAATACGCAGCCCAGAAATGTGCTTCTTTCCATGAGTGCAGCGCAATTAAACTACCATTTTAAAGCAGTTGTGCTACCTGAGTGGTTAGATTTAAAGATGCTTGTTCTTTCTCTGTCTAGTCTTCCTCTTCGCTTCTGGGTGAACATACTGAAGAATCCCCAATTTGTTTTTGATATTAAGAAGACGTCACATATAGATGGCTGTTTGTCTGTAATCGCACAAGCTTTCATGGATGCCTTTTCTCTAGCAGAACAGACTCTGGGAAAGGTAACGCTACCCTGATAGTCTTCTGCAAACTTCTCAACCAATGTCTTTTTTCAATTGTATAGTGATTTAGGGATGCAGTCCTGGATCTGCTCATATCGGGGGCAAAAATAATTAATTAATTAAAGCCTAATTAAACTGAGTTTCCATTCCTTGTTGCTCCGTCTCACAAGACTTTGAAGAATTCACTGGAGGAGACAGAGCTACTAGGCTACCATATTTATCGTTAACTGTTGCTTGTCTTCTCTGCAGTTAGTTTCTGCACAGTGTGTTTACAGAATATGTAGAAGAGGGTGGAAATTGTAAGATTTTAGTTTGAAAGAATTTGAAAGTTTGAAAGAATTTGAAAGTTTGAAAGAATTTTTAAACAAAGGTCTTAAAAGTATTAACATTATTTGATAAGCAGTCCAGATTTTGTCTGCCACACACTGATGTGCAGAAAACACACATAGTAAGCTACTGGGAGCTGTAAGAATACTTGAAAGAGCTCTGAAGTTTGAAACAGTTCTTTTCACATGTATTAGCTACTCCCTTTTTATATGCAAAATTATTTACTGGAGTAACAAGTCCAGAAATCTTACATTCAAAAGCTCTTTAGTACAGCGTCCAGAACTCTGGGGATCAGAAATACTTCATTTTTCCCAAGGGTATTTTCCTTTTCTTTGTACCAAAGCAGGAAGCATTTGTTCAGGCTTATACTACCAAGCAAAACAGACTAGAGATTTTTTAGCCTTAAAAAAAAGTTATAAAACTGGACTAATTTCCTGTGTGATCTGAACAAACTGCTCAAATAACACATAATGTGCTTATTTATCTTATTTTAGGAGTGAAGTGTGGTGAATTAAAACTAATCACATCAGTTACTTGATGGAAAAAACTGCAAATGGGCATGGTGTGTTAGGTTTCTATGTTTAACATCCATTGTGAGGTACTGTAGATACAATAGCTCCCGTTAGCCATTTGGAAAGGGAGGCTGAAACCTGACAGAGGTTTGCAATGCAGTAAACATCTTGTGGCCTTTTAGTACCAAACGTATTTACTTTGATGAATTTATCTTAAAACATTCTTTAGCTACGTAGAAAACAAACATTTAAATCATTTCATCACACAGTGAAAACAGTAGTGACAAGAGATCACATGGTTGTGTCATTTATTGCCCAGAATTTAAACTAGAGCAGTGACAGGAAACTACCAGCCCTCACTTGCACACGCTGAAAACATGGTTTCCAGGTGGGGCTTGAGCTCCTACCACAAACATCAGCATCTATTTCCTCGGATGAGCCTAAAGCCGCCTGGTAGGTCAGTGCTGACCTGGGTTGTTGAAACCCTGGGGAAAAAAATAAATCCCTTTGGCTGTGCATGCCTGGCAGTCAGCTCTCCCTGCTCTCCAACCCCTGAGCAAAGGAGTAGTAGGGACCAAAAAGGTTTTGGGGAACCTCTGCCAGGACAGGATCTAGCAAGCCTCTCTGGCATGTCACCCTGGGGGAACTTTCCCCAGCACTGCTGTATCCTGTATGTAAATAAGGTGTAGGCCTCAAGCCCTTTGGTTTAGCTTTCACAGTCTTTCAGGTCCGGGGAGAGGTGAGGAGGAAGTAAGAAAGAAATCTATGTCTAAGGGACAAATGTTCATCGCTCCTGATTCCAGTGGAAATAATTACATGGCAACTGTCATGAAACACAATGCACTGTTACTGAGGTCCTGCGTCTGTTCTTCATCTTTTTTTCGTAACCTTGATTCCTTGCGTATTAGCACTGCAAAGAGACATGAGTCACACAGAGAACAGACACAATGAGATGCAATTAACTATGTGGAGGTGGAACCTTAGGAAATCTGTGCTGTGAAAATTGACAAGGCTTCAAATATTTTCTTTTAAGGAAGCACCAACAAATAAACTTCTCTACGCTAAGGACATTCCACTGTACAAGAAGGAGGTGAAAGCGTACTATAAAGCCATCAGGGATCTGCCTCCATTGACCACTTCAGAGGTTGAAGAATTTCTAACTCAGGAATCTAAGGTACGGTTGAGAAGTGGGAACTTCATTTGCTTTCATGTTAAGCTTTTTAAAAAGGAGAACTGTCTGACCAGAACTGTTTTCTGTTTTAGAAACATGAAAATGAATTTAATGAGAAAGTGGCCTTGAGTGAAATCTACAGATACATAGTGAAATATTATGATGAGGTAAGCAGCTCTGTTATTCCCGCTTAACCCCTTCATATTAACTTGCCACCTCAGGCTTGAAAGTTGGGCTTGACAGAGTAACCAAGGGCTGGCCTGGCCTGTGACTTGCAGGGTGCCGCTCCAGAGACAAACCCTCAGTGATGCGGCCACAGTGCTCCTCCCGCTGAGCTGCATGGGCCAGAGCAATGCAGCCCCTGGGGCGGCCAGAGCCCCCACCTCTCGGGGGGGGGTCACAGGCCAAAAGTTTGAAAATGGACCTTTACTGTCGCCACCGTATTTCACAGCGATAGTAGCAATAAAATTCTCCTTGCAGTTTTGAGAAAGTTCCTATATAGTCTAGACTTCTTGTTTTAACCATGTTTGCAGAGTATCTGCTAGCGCCTGTCACAACTCCTGTGCACGTGCTCCAGTTCCCTGGAGATGCAGAAATCAGATTAGACTGTAGCACCAGGCATCTTGATTTAACAGTCAGTACAAACACCTCAGCGGAGCACGCTCAGCCTTACAGCAAAAGGTGTCTGCTCCTTTCCCATCAGAGCCCTTACGCTCTGCTCTAATCGTCTTCCTCTTAAAGAGAAGAAGCTATAGCTTCCAGTCCCTATTGCTAACAAAGGAAATCTTTTCTCAACTGAGAGCACTTAGTCACAGGCTACCTCTAAGCTGTTTTGTAAGAAAATCCCTGCCCTCCAATTTGCATGACAGGATTCTCCACTCCATTTTGCTCAGCATCCTTAACAGAGGCTGTGTGTGCCTGCACAGGGAGGCAGATAAGAGCCAGCTGGGTGTGTAGCCTGAAGGCCTCCTTACCACTTCCAGCAGGTTGTCTGGGTCTCCCAGCAACCAGACCTTTTTCTCTTTCATCCCCAGCAGCACAGCATCAGCACTCCCTGTAATCATCCAGCTCGCAGTCACCCGTTAGCCAGCTTACCGCTTCTGATCTCTAACATCTCAAATTATCGGGGTTCAGCATCAAATCTTTGCCTCTTAAAAGAAGCTTGGGATGATCCTCAGAGTGGCACTATGCTTTATTAAGCTCATTAGAATTGTTGACAGAGGAGACTTGAGAATACTTTCTAATCTCAGTGCCCATTTTTGCTTTTTTGAAGCTAGTACTGGCTAAACTTACCCCATCCTCAGAAGGAAACCCTCCCTCTGCTCTTCCCCTCTGGCTTTTGACTGGGAGCAGCTAAACCTCATTCATTGTTTGCTGAGACCTCAGTTGCTTTGTAGAATTGCCAGCAAAGAGTTTTTCAGACAGCAGTAATGCTCCTTCCCATCACCTGGGCCGGTGCCAAGTGGGCCAGTTAGAAGACGAGAGGCAGTTTACTGCCTTCAGTTTACAGGGCAGAGGAAGATAAATAAAATACCATTTGTAAATCTGCTTTAGGGTAAAACTGGAGTACTGGCTTTGCCTTGCACTTCAGGAGATGAACGTGTGTTGGATTTGTTTTGGGTTTTTTGCTTGGCTCTGTCGTTTTTTTGTGGAAGTGTTGCAAATCCTGTAATCATAATGACTTGAAAGGAAAACTACCAAAATGGAGTGTTAAAGTCAGAAAAGAATGTTTACATTTAGGCAGGCATTCAGATGGGGTTTTTTTTCCACCAGTAGTTGTTGGAATGCAGAAAAGCAGGCTTTAAAAAACAGCAAGTAAAATAAGCACTAAAAAAATTATTCTTTTTTTTTGCTAATTGTTAACAGATTGTCAGCAAACTTGAGCGAGAACGGGGGTTTGAAGAAGTCCAGAAACAGCTCCAGCAAGTAAAAGACTTATTTGATGAAAAGAAAAAATGCAAATGGCTTTGAGCAGAGCACTGACTCACAGCGTCACTGTGGGGGATTTTAAATAAGCGCTACTGCTCCCAGAACTGTTGTGACTGACTATATGTACAGGGTTTGAAACACTTGGACACTCTTCTCCACTCTGACCATTCCAAGTAATATCTATGTTTGGGACTGAAGTACGGGCGGGGTTACATATTAAAACGTGGGCATGTCAAAGCGAAAGTGAGTCTAGCGTTGGCAGGGCCAGCATTTTCAAGTACTTGAAGACACCTTTTGGTTCAAAGATACTGCCTTAAGTAAGCTTTCAGCTCGCTTACTTAAAAACAAGCTTGTAGGAGATGTGCAAAACACACTGCAAGTTCCGAGTTGCCTGTGTGAGCTTGTAAGTTGCTTAGCTCTTTTTTTTTTTTAAGAGAGAAAGCTGATGGTTCGCCACATCCTTTCAGCAGCCTTGGCAAACTGTGGGTTGAGCTCCGGCTTCAGAATATGGGTCAGCTGCAGTTTCCTTCCTTCCAAATGTACACTGTTTCCTGTTTGGGGAAAAAAAAAAAGACAACAAAACAAAGAGCACCAAAGTGACACTTAGGACAAGAGTGTTTAGCAGAAAAAAAGTGGGTCTGAGGTTTGAAGGCCAAATGCCACATGGCAGGCCATTTCTTCCTTAGGTTAGAAATTCCATGTACAAAGAGAAGCCAACCACTGAGTAAGGGGGAGGCTTCTGGAGAAAGGCACTAGACCGGCATCAGTCGGTGTTTACATTTCTACCTTTCCATCCTTAAATAAGCTGTGAAACACTTGTGAGCGACTTCACACGTGAAACCTCCATGCGGCTGCTCCACATCGGAACACTGTGGTGAGCCGATGAAGCAGCTGACGATGGCTGCACTTTGGTGCACAAACCTGTACTCAGGTGCGTGATGGCCCCATGCATTAGTGCTGACAGTCCTGGCCATCCGGGTACAAGGGCCTCACAAATCTGAAGCCAGCATTTCTTTTTTTTTTTCAGGTTGTCCACACAAAGGCTTGTCAAAAGAGGGTTAGTGTAACAATACGTAAGAACAGGAGGGCTGGTGTAATCTCTGACTGTGTATGAGAAACTGATGCAGATGTGATAGCTGGGGTGGGGAGGGGTTAACTGTCTGCCTTAGGCCTGCTGGGGTGTTTTTTGAGGCTTGGCCATTTTAAAAGGAGGGCATCCATTGCATTTGCATGGGTGGCTACAGTTAGCCTAGCTGGAAAGCAGGTGTGTGGCCATGCTGCTGAGACGCGGCTGGTGCAGTGGCTGTCCCACAAAGCCATGGAAGAGCAGCCGTGGCACTGGCTCTGCTACCACGACAGCACAGTCCTGCCCTCCGCCTCAGAGCCACAATGTTTTGTTGCCATGGACTCTGTGTCAATCACACAGAGGCACTTACCCAGGCTCCCACCTGCCCTTAGGTTTGAGGTAAGGCCCTGAGAAGAGGGAGCTACATTTCCACATTTCCAGAGGAACCTCCCACTGGAGGCGAGTGGCGTAGCGCAGTGGCCCACAGGAGAGGGAGGTGGTGTCCCCTCCCTGCTGTGGCGGTGGCGAGGGTGCCTGGGCTGGGACCGGCATGGGTGGCCTGAGTTCAGAGCAGAAACCCTGGGGCTCCCAGGCAGTGACACACTCAAAATATTTACCGCTGCTTCGGAGGAGCCCAGAGGCTGCAGAACAGCAGTGCTAAAGCTGGCCGGGCTGGTTGCAAAGGCTGCTGGAAGCTGGTACCGGGCACAATCCCACGGCACCGCAGCAAACGCTAACCACGCTTCGGCAGAAGCAAGGCTGCCTGTTGGCATGGAAAAAAGCAAAGACAAAACCACGTTGCCTACTGGTCTGGCCCCTCCCCACCACGCGATTGCACACCTTGGATCTCTTGCATATCAGAGAGGGGAGCCACCAACCCATACTGTGATGGCTTTTTTTTGGTTTTTAATTCAAAAGTCTTACACTTGCTGTTAAGTTTACACTTTATACCTGATGGAATGTATGACTTTTTGTTCAGGAAACTGCACTACAGTGTTGCAGTACTTTCAGCAGTTCTCTGCCTGGCACAATGTATTTTGATGTTTAATTTTAATTGGAAAAAAACCACCCACCCCAATCCTAACCTGTCTTGCCCTCTGTCCTAAAGGAGTGGACCATGGCTTGAGTAGCACTTAAGCTTAGAATACCTGTACTTAAGGGCTTGATTTTTATCATTCTTAACCTAACATTTTAAAGCAGCATCAAATAAATAATTAAAAAAAAAAGCACAGTAATTAATTAACATTAAAGAAGGGGCATGAGCAGATTACTCTTTCTGGTTAGACAGATGTCTCAGCAGTTCCATTCCACTTCAGGTGTTTGCTGGCAGTACATTTGAATGAACTGTGATAGTTTTGTTCAACGGTAACCTTCTGTACAGGCAGAAAAAAAAAAAAAAAGAAAAAAAAATCCCCAACTTTTCTGCTTGAAAAGCTGTAAAATATAGTCTGTTTGCGTGGGTCTGATCCTGTGAACTTCACTATATGTGTTTATATGATGAGGAAACAAAAAAAAAGTATCAGTCCTATTCTGTATTTGTACTACTGCTTGTTTGCTACAATAGCTTTAATAATTTCTAGAGATTAAGTATGTGTTGAAGCAGGCCCCGTAGCTTTAGCCTACAGCCTGGAATAGGATTATTGCCTTTTCTTCAAGCCTCCTAAACAGCATCGTCACTCTGTTAGTAAACCATTAAAAGTCATGCTGGGACTTTGTAACCCATCAAGTGGATCTCACGAAGTGATGTGAAGTATAATTAAGTGATTGTGGCTCTTTTGGTAGGTTTGGATCAGGACACAAACCATTGGCACACCCTCCCTCTCCGCAATCTGCTGTTGCTGTTTCACAGACCAAAAAAAAAAACAAAAAACAACCAACACACCCACCTCTGACTAAAGCTGTGTTACAGCAACCCAACAATTCTAATAGCATTCTCTGAAATGAAAGCAAACTTCTCTTTTATTTTCACACGTTTACAGACAAACTGCTATGGCAAACAGCATATTTTCTAACACTAGCTTACAGAGCATTATTTTGCAGTTATCTAAAGTCAAATCTTACTAATGTGTAAAGTAATTCCTGTTGTACAGAAGTTAACCTGTTGTTTAAAATGAATGGTTAAAAAAAAGTGCAAATGACAAATCCATGTTGGTGTTTGTATGGGTTTATCTAGAATAAAATGCTTTTGGAGGTTATTTTGATTAACTCATGTGCTTTACACCGGTGAAAAGCGAGCAAGCGCCACTTGTAGCAGTGCGGGGCTCTGCGAGGAAGGGCCACAGGACGCTGCAGGACCAGCTCAGGAGAAGCACTGCCCCGCTCCCAGCCCTGCCCGGCTCCAAGGCGTGTTACAAACCGCAAAGAAGGGAGCCTCTGGGGCAGAGAGGTGCCGGCCGGAGTAACACCCAGCAGCTGCAGGGCCTGGGGCAGGGAGGGGGGCGGGGGTTCCCTGGGCTGGGGGGCTGCCGGCTGCAGGCCGGAGGTGCAGTGCGGAGCCTGCTACACCTGCGGCTTCTCGCAACCCCTTAATGGCTTTAAGTCTCTGAGGCCGATGATACCTTTGAAAAGCTAAAAATGTTAAAAAGGAGGAGAACTCAGTAACCCGAGAAGTATTCTTTCAGGAGAGGGTGCTGCAGGAACAGGGAACTCCCTCTGGCAGAACCCGAGAAAGGGAGCCCACAAACCAGTGGAAAACCATCGTTCTTCCTCCTGCCCTTACCCTGCTGCTGCCCCCCAAGGCTTCCCCAGCAGGTACGAACCGCCCCCAGCCCCCTGACACCAGGCAAAGGTCTCCCAGGAGCCCGCAGCGCTGGAGCCAGGCACAGAGCTGCGAGGCTGGCCAGAGCTCGTCGTGACCAGCGATGGCCTGGCAACCCTCGGCGAGCAGCAGGACATGCAGCAAGCTGGCAGAGGCACAGATAGGCACTTTTTGCAAATGAATCCTCCAGGAGACAGTGGAAAGAGCTTCCGTTACTTCTCATAGTGACGCCGTTCTCCTCAGAGAAGTCTAACGACTTCCCCAAGAAAGCAGAGCACAATCCCTCTACTTACCTCCTGTATGGAAAACCAACCGTGCAGCCGCTGGAGGGAAAAGTGCCATCAATGACGACCTCACCACATGCAATGTAGTTATTCGGTTGTCTGTTACTACAGTCTAATAACAAAACCGAATAAGCTATTAAAAGAAACCACACTGCATATCTCACTGTCTCATACTTTCACTGCAGTATTTTGGAAGGAAAAAAAAAACCACCCACACCAATAAACCCTTTCACTATCAAGTCATAAAAATTAATTGATCCTTTACAAGTTTCTGTTACTAAACTGATAAGGCAGAAGAAAAAAAATTTTAAATAAATACATTCAACCTTGAATAAATAATTTTATTGTAGTTAAGTAAACAAATTACAGTAGCAAGAAATACAAACTTACATTTTCGTAATGTGAAGGCAATTTGTTATACTTTGTCTCTACTGTTATATTAAAAACCCTGATTATTGCTTATTCCCGTTATAAAACCACAAGAGGCACATTGTCAAGGGTAGCAAATAGAAGTTGTCGGCACTTTTTCCATTTCATTTCATTTCATCCTCTCTACCTGCATGGGAACTTCAAAATAACAATTCCCACGTGGATTACAGTACTGTTAACAATCAGCCCAGCAAAACTCCACACTGGTACAGTAACTTCTACATTGAAGGAGTAAGAGGATATTATCAAGTAAGTTTTAAAGGATTTATCAAAAAATCCTGGATTTTAATATTTATTTTAAATGTCAGCACAACCCAAACCTTGATAAATGTTTTTTAAGTTTCATGTCATGAGCTTGTCTTGTAATGTTTTACCTTTGAAATAATTTTACATAATTTATATAAAAACATTTCAAAATGTAGTTAATCTTTCAATGCTTTTGAATCATTATATTTGATAATTTATGAAAAAACTATGCAGAATATATTTTATGCTATTCAGGCACAAACAAGCATGTTTCTGGCACCATATTAAAAGCACATACAAAGGATAAGCTATGGAAAACTAACAGTCTGTAGAGTTTGCAGATTTTATTTGGAATCCTCACTTTGTACATCGCCTTCTCCAGCGAGCTTGCTTCTAGCCAAGTCCCTGTATGCGCCCACCATTACTCGCTCTCTAGATGGTCCAAGATCTTGCAGCTGTTTTCTCTGTGTAGTTTCTAGTTCTTCCAACCGCTTGCGAAGCAGGGAAAGCTCTCTTTGATGCTGTTCCTCCTTGAAATTCCAAAAAAGTAAAAAAAAGGAAAAAAAAAAAAAAAGGCTCCATTACATTTTACACACCTACAAGGGACCAAAATGAGCTATAATTTCATTTTCTTCAATTAACGGTTTTAAAATAAAAAATGTGAAGTCCAAAATATCATTATTTATTAAATTTTACTCCTGACCAGTTTGTGGGTACTGTTCTGACATTCAACATGAACAGCATCAGCAAGAAACAGTCGCGCAGGCGTTCTCCCTCTCAGATGAAGAGGCACACCGATCTGAGGTCTCGGTTATCAAGAATCTGTAAAGTCAGCCAGGTCAACCTCAGCCAGAGAGATTTTTCGCCCTCAGAACTTCACCAGAGTAAATAAAACTCTTTTAACCACACGAGAAATCAGGAGCATCAATACAGCTATTTAATAATGAAACCGTGGTGTGAGAGCACCACTGTAGTATTCCTTGCCCACAAGGAGGCATTTAAAGCCTCTCAGGGGAAGGACAAAGTACCGAGAACCCGGTTAAAACTGCCCGTTCGTTACATTCTGTAACCTATAATTTGTCTTTCATGAACCCCTTCCTATTGCGAGGAAGGAAACATCACTAGGAGTATTCCTCAAAGTTTCCTTTCTCTGCCCAAAGATCAAGTACTCCTTCCTTAAGACTAAGGTCTGTAATGACGGACTGTTCCAGTACCCTCTTTTGTTGTATTATTTTCGCAACTTGTAATACATCACCACCTGAAGAAGGGGGAAGGACACTTCAGGCCCAGGAGGCAAGGCAGGTGATGACGTTATACCGACTGGATTGAGTGACGGTATGTTAGGATTCAGAATTAAACTCCGGAATTCATTGTGCCTACGTTGCAAGTCCTTTAGTCTCTTCTGGAGGCGTGCATATTCTTCATAGGAAACATTCTGCCTAGAAAATAAGAGATTTCTTATCACTCAAAATCCATATTATCCCAACACAGAAGTGTACCTCTCCACGAGTTCTCTGCTGTTTGCTATCCCTGTGAAGGAAAACTACGTACCAGAAGATCTGGAAGGTGGAAGATCTGTGTATATTCTTCTGCCTAAATGTCTGTCTAAAAGTCCCTCTACATATTAAACTATCTGCTGTATTACAGATTAGCATTTACATGGAATAAATTAAGCTTTTAATAGCATTCACAGTAGTGAGCCATAGGAGCCACATTAAATTAATTATTTGAATCAAGCCCTCCATGGGTGCTCAGTGAAGAGGAAAAAAATAGGTGCTTGTCTTTCAAAGAGGATGCTAAGTCTGTTTCTCTTGCCATTCTGAAGTCTTTTTCACTTCCTTCTTTTGAAGGGATTCCTGCAACTGCATCTATCGGGTATTTTTCCTCTATTTCTGCCCTGCAGTTGTCTTATAAGCTCTCAGCTGCCCATGCTAAGTGGACTGCATTCCAAGAATTCTAATGCTGAAAATGTCGTTAGATTGGACTCCAGTTACTAAGTGTCATGTATCTTCAAAAATACTTCATATTTCTAAGTCAGATCTTGGGCATATACCAGTTTTCAAGCTAAGAAAAAGCAGTTTATTACCTATTTAGCACCTGATTTTCTTTTTCTAGTTCTTCTATCTTGGCTTCCAAAAGTTCTAGTTTCTCTTGCATCCTCCTTTGTTTATTATCAGTGAGAGTCTTTCTCTGTCAAACAGACATTTCAAACAGATAAATAATTAGATCCTGTAAAAATTAAATCTACACTGTATATTATTTCAAGCTGTGATAGTTCTTAGGATTTTCCTTCATTAAGAAGAGGTGCTGTGTTGTTTGAAGGTTCTGAATCCCCCGATGGGAAACAAAAGGGATGGGAAATTATCCATAGCTGCAACTGGAAGATACACAGCTGTCAGTCACTTGTTGGTCAGTGACTAATTGTACCAAACACTAACTGTAGCTGAGAATTACAAAATTCATTCTTCAAATGACCATGTATAAATAAGTATAAAAATGACCAAAAAAAAAAAAGTATGCTTTCTTCTTTTCTTCTCTCCCCCTGACCTCAACTTTTTACAACCCTAAAAGCTACTGGTAGTTTTCATAACCTGTATGCGTCCAATGTCTAAAACTGCCAATAAATCTTTTGCTTTTATAAACAATCAGCTTTTCCTTTCAAGTTATTTCACAAAAAGCAAGCTTAGGAAAAGATATAAAATTTTAATATTCCATCAAGGAAAAGTAGAACATCATTTGTCTAGTATCCAAAACATCCTCCTTACTAGTCAAGGAGTCCACATCTTAAATAACCATATACAAATGCATGCGCGCAAAAAAAAAAGCCTCACAAAATCTTTGATGGCATTATAACAAAGTTGTTAGCTGTAATGTTCTTTTGCGTATCACTTCAACCTCTTTCTATGCTAATCTTGAAGAACCTGATATATTTTTTTATTATATACAGTAGACTGCAAATAAACTATTAATAGTAAAACAATTCTAGCTACCAAAATTAAAGCTGAACTTTTCATAAGCTGGATCATTCATAAAGGAAGAGTCAACGTGCCTTTTTCTGAGCAACAGCAGCTCGACATAGTTTGTTCTTCACTTGGTTGTATTTCTCTTCTTGCTCTGTGATGCGCTGAGTAAGCACATGCTTCTCCTCCAGCCATTCTATACGTTTGTATTCTAAAGCCCTTTGAAAAAAATCAGGTAAAAAGCTTAAGAGGTTACACAGACAAAGCAGCACGTTCGATTAATGCCTTAAGGCTCTTAAAACAGATGCATTTTTTCACACCTCCTACCTTTATATACTCAAAGTATCTGATTTAAATTTGATTGTGCTAACAATCTAATTGTGACTAACAACATTCGAACCCTGCACATTAGCATCATCCTAGGTTTTGTTCAACTATGAGGCAAATTTTGAAAACCGATTCTGACAAGCTAGTTAATTGTCGATTGCTCGCAACATGCCAAACCATCCACAGAAAATTTCTCATTTCAGATCAAATAATCACACTGGAACACTAGACACCTATGCCAAACATCAGTTGTCAGAAGAGCTGACAATTACCTTCTCTGGTAAGAGAATAGGTTGCTGCCCTGTGTGGTCTACTATGCCTTTGTAGCGGAGAAGTACAGACTATTTCCTCCCAACCAGAACAAATGCCAACACAACAGGAAGCTTCCACCGATATGGTTCCTAGACAACATTCCAGCTGAACACACACCACCGACAGCATATGTTATCTGTTTAGGCCTTTGCGTGATTAAAATATACTAAAATTAGGCTGTGTTCTCTCGCAGTGGATAGGAAAGGAGCCAGTTTCTCTCTGCTGCCTTGTTTGTTTAGGCTATCTATCTGCATTGTGGGTCAAAGTAGACAAGAACTAACTGCATATTTAACTACATTACTATTAAAAAAATTAAAAAATCAAATGGTGAGAGTGTAAGCAGCAATTTTTAAGAAATGCAGTCAAAGGCTTGGTATCAGTGCATCCATACCACTCCATTCCTGGGCTGATGCAGTTTTCCTACAGGGACTCTGAATGAGCCTCCGTAAATTTCTCACCAAACCCCCTTTCCCTTCCCCACAGCAGAAGTATTAGGAATCATCCACTCTCAGATCAGAACTAGGATCCCGGCCCACTTGGCAGCCATCACAGTTCTTTTAGGAGATCCAGTGTAGTTTGTACCTTGCTATTAACTATAAATTACTATTACTACCCAGGAACCAAAGAGCTTTCTTGAAAAGCACTGCTTAAACATAAAAGAATTTCAATTGAGACACCGCTTAAAAATGCCATGAGATTTATTTTTTTTTAAATGCCACTAACACTGTTCCTGAAATGCTTAACAAGTGCCTGTTTGAGCTCATCTCTGATCTGTATCAGTCTCATAGTTTGCCTTCAGCCCTTTTTCTCATTCCACGTTTTCATTTCCAAGCCTAAGACTGACACAGCCATGCAGGCACCTGCTTTGCCTACTCACAGCTCAACTAGCATTATTTTATTTATCTGAAACTTTTAATCTTTGGCTTTCTTACCTTTTGGCCCTTATTTCACTTCCTCCTTAAGGCAAGTTACTTTAGTGCAACTTGACTCTTAGAGTTCAAGCTCCTAAGAATCACTGAACAGAGGAAGGAAGTCCTATCACCCACAGAGTCAGAAAAAGAATGGAAACATATCCCAAGGCTCCCGGGGTAACAGTAGGACAGACCTGCAGGACTGACACGTAGGCTGCAAAGCTGCTTAATTTCTGGAGTAGCAGCCTTGGTGCATTTCCTGTTATCTACATACTTATACAATGATCTCTGAGGACTGCCAAGTTCCTTCCCCTGCCTTCCCAGGAATACCTACTCCTGACTGGTCTGTGGCCCGTAAATACATGAATGACATGAGACAGTCTCACTCAAATAACAGGACAATCTCACTCAAAATATGAATACACCTTCCTAAAGTAAATATCCAAAGTATTTAACATGTTACTGACAGCTGAACGTATTCTGCACTCCCCACGAGATAATTTCTTCAAATGTTAAACTGAAAAGCAAGACTTTAATGACAACAAAGCAACTATAGTACCAATTCGTAGCAGAAGATAAGTTAAAACAAAAAATGCCACATTAAATAAAAACCTTCAAAAAGCTATAATCTGGGACAGTGACTTTTTTTACAAACCTACCACACAATAACCCAGTACAAGTTAGACATGTATTTGATTATTAGGCTAGGAAATACTAAATAGCCATTTCAGACTGACAAATTAATCTTTAAATTCCAGGAAAGTGTTCATTGCTATATGAAGTCTGAACAAGATTTGGTTTCCTTCAGCATCTATTAGCATATTTTGATGGTATGTGGTCAAGCTTGTGCAAAAAAGGAAAGTGATTATTTTTAATTTTGATGAGAGCAACTAGAAAATATCCGATAAGCTTTTATTTTCCTAATATCAGCTAAAAGGATCTAGTGGAAGGGGGGAGGGGGAAGTATATACACACATATACAGACAGTCCCTGAAACCTTATCAAAGCATAATACAATGCTTAAATGCTTTTTTCACCCTTAATGCTTAAACGCTCTTAAAAGAACTGTGTGACGCTCTGGATCCACTTAAACTAGTATGTTTCACATTCACTTCATATAAAATGAAATCCTATTTATACTAAGTAGTGTATTTCACTAGTCAATAATTAATTATAACAGATATGAATGGAAACAAACTCCTATTTTTGAAGTTACCACAAGCAAATCTTTTATATGTACTGCATAACAGAAGGTATCACCATTTTTTTTAGAATTGTCCAATTTTTCCTGTTCATTTTTAATTTCTGACTTTATTCAGAACCTACATTCCGTAGTTAAGTAATCCATGTGAAAGGAACACAAGCAACATGAAAAGGAAAAGTAAAGCTAAAAGGAAGAAAAAAATTACTTCTCTGTTTCCAGTTGAGCTTTTTCTGCCTGAGTCCTTGCATGTTGACATTCTTGTTTCAATCTCTCTAATATTTCCTTCAGCTTCTGATTAGACTCCAACAAATCATTTTCTGACTGAGAAAGTGAGGCAAGCTGGAGTTGCAGGTTGTGAATTTGCTACAAAAAATGAAATTTTTCCATTTGAGAAGGCATGCAAATAACTAACAATTAATTTTGAGATACTGAGAGCAAAATGGAGACACCAACTGGCTGCATTAGCTTTTCATAAGCCTTCTTTTCTGTTCCTTTTCTCCTTACTCAACAGCTTCTCCAGAACCTTTACAGTAAATCACTACTAGACAAAGAAGGTTTTCTATTGTAGTTCAAATGAGAAAGAGAAAGGGAGGCAGGAGTCTTCAGTCATTGATGTGTCCCCCAGAACTTAAGAAATCCAACATTAAGCCCCAGGGCTGGACAGAACTAGAGCACCACACAACATTTAGTAGTGGAGCTGTGGAGCTACCGAGACTCCTCTCTCTGTAACACACAATGAGTTACAGCCAGCAGTGGCTGCACCAACCAGTTCACAACAAGAAGTAAGTCGAGTCTGAAAGTCCAACCTGTGCAGCCAGCCCATAGAAAGGATGATTTCCCTTTCCTTTTCCTCTCCCCACATTGACACTCAGATACCCCGATTTCTGGAGGGAAAAAAATATTGCCTTGAACTGCAAGTGCACACAGCTTGCAGACTACTTTGATGCACAGCTATGTTCTTACGTACTAAATAACATCACAGGCAAGCGGGAGTTAAAAGAATTAGGTTTGATTTTCAACACTGCCATCAATTCACTCTGCAATAGAAATATACCTCTGTACACTAGTTTATTCATTTATGAAACATCTGTTAAGCACTTGAACCTCAGATGAGGGATGCAGTGTAAATGCAAAGCATTACCTAGAAACAATTTATAAGTCTCCATGGAAACTGAATCTGCAGTTAAATAGTGGATAACTGTATTCAATATACCAGTCTATAAACATTCAGCTTTGAAATCCTTGGTACCCACAAAACACATGAAGCAAAAAGCTGTAATCCATCTATAAAGGTCCAAGAAAGCATGACTGATTTCTGAATACTTTTGCTTTTAAATATCTGTTGCATGCATTTTGTCCCTCAGGAAAAAAATAAAAAGCCTTAAAAATTCAATCTAATCTTCAAACACTAGGCATGGTAACTGCAGGAAAGATTGTATTTCTCTATAAAACATTACAATGCAATAAAACCTTACCTGTTTCAGATCAGCACTTTCACGTTTCTTTTCTTCCAACTCCTCTGTCTGAGTGGCTTGCTGTTGAATTTTTAATCTAAAATTGTGTAAGACATCCTTATTCTTATTTAATTAAAATATGGATGTTAGTAGTTAAGACAAATCAGTCTGACAATAGAATATATTGCACAATGTGAAAGGCTGATAAATATTTAACTAAACAAGGATTAAAAATAGATTTTTATTGATTGTTAGAATTCATTTAGGAGTAAGAAATACGCTGATTTGTTTGCTTTTGGAGTATGACTTTTGCTCATTTTGGTCATACTGACCTTCATACAAATACTATAGTAAAGCACCTTCACTGAGAACTATAATAACCAACTCAAAGAGATATCATATTTCTGGGTCTCAGTTTGCCAGAATATCTCTGGCAATATCACTGCTGATATGGTGTCATTGTGGAAAGAGAAATGGTTTACTCTAACAGTGGGGCTATGCCAGCAGCTAACACGGACTCAATCTCAACACATACGAAGACTGTAAAATTATGTCTTAAAAACGTTCATTAAAATCATATAATTTTTAAAGGTTTGGATGAATTTTTTTATTTTTATTTTTAAACAGCACATTTTTAATTCTGGCCTCTTTTTACACAATGCAAAAGATAATTTTGTTTAATTTACCATAATGAACATTTGTGTATCTATGAATAGCAAACTTTGATACTGACTGTTGTAAAGAAGTTGGGGGGGGGGGAATGAAAAATTTGTGTTAAGGTTAGAAAAGCCACACTACCGCAAACGCTGAAGTTCCTTTTTGCTAGATTCTTCTGCCATCTGTACAACACGTAGTTTCTCTTCATACTGATCCTTTTCAGATTGCCTCCTAGTATCTTGTTCCAGTTTCATCTTCTCTAGATCAGCTAATCTGTTCTCGAGTTCTAACCTGAGACATTATTCAACATGCACACAAGAATCATGACAAAATACCAGAAGTGTTTAGTTGCTAAGAATGACATTTTTAAAAGTTACTCAAAGCACTCCTCTTTTAGAAGTTGAGCAGTAAATCAACAAACATACTTTTCATCCTGTAAGGCCGCAATTTTTTCAAAAACTTCCTCTTTGGCAGCTTGCACTTTACGAATTAGCTCCCGATCCTTTTCTACTAAAAGCACCTTATGACGTTCAACAGCTGCCTTAAGAATTTCCTTGTCTGACAGCAATCCTGCATTATACATTAAAAAAAGTTAAAATGTCATTATTGATATCAACCTGATGAAATCCAGTATTAAATAACTTTACAAATTGATAAAAGGGAGCTAAAAAAAAAAATAAAATCACAATACAGATGACAGAATGACAGAATGACAGAATGAATGAATGAATGGGAAAAAACCCCAAGAAAAACAGAAGAGACATGGTCTTCCTTAGTATAACAGCAACATTTCAAAAACTTTTGAAGAGTAACTGTTACACTGGCATCTCTGTCCATGAGGGTTTATTATTTTACATCCAAAAGTAATAAAACAGTTGATATTATTATAAATCTAAACTCTAAAGCAATTTCTGGTGAGCAGTTGTGTCTGGATTTTTTTTTATTTTTTTTTTAAAAAAAAGGTGTTCCACAATAGCTTATGTAAATGTCAAGAAATTTTTTTCTTTTCTTTTTATGGAAAAGTTTATGGTAAACAGTAACTGGTTACTAGTGAACCCACAGTAACCTGGCTACAATAAATCTCCCATTTTAATCCACTCATATTACCAAATGAGGCATTTCTAAAATTATGACTCTATATGCAGGAACAAAAGATGCAAATTAAAAACTTGTGACAAAGACACCTATGCTCACTGGCAAATAAGCCAACATGCTGTAACAATGACTCCTGGTTATTTAGCTAATTCAGTGACGCAAACTGGATTCCACGGCAAGTTCAGGTTAGTTTAAATCTTTCCTGTATTTAGTTTCATATTTCGTAGGGTCCAACATCTTTAGTTCACCAGACAGTCTAAGTCCGCTGTTGATCCAGAAATCACAGCGTTTTAGTTGCTCTTAGAGAACTTAATATTAAAGCAAGTGAACAGACACAACTGTTCTAGGAAGATGAAGGTACTATTTTGGGGTTATGGCAAATCAGTGAGGACAGTCCACTTAAAAGCTGTGTAGTGATTTAATATCATCAACACATAACTAAAAGCTGTGTAGTGATTTAATATCATCAACACATAACTAGTACTAGAAAACTTTGGCCTTTTCACTCTAGAAAGGTATTTCAAGTTGCCTACATACTCAGCTGGCTCAGCTCAGCTACTCAGGTAGCTTAGAACATCGCCTATTTTCTTCAAAGAACAAGCTGGAAATTGTATTTTGTTTCACATGGCAGCCTTACCCAATTGTTATCATTTCCACAGACACAGAATCAGAAAACAAAACCATCAGTGAAGCCCTATGGTATGTTCAAGAAGAGTATGAAAGACAATAATGGCAAAAAATAACCATATTAAGTACATGATTTGAACCAGATTATGCTCAAATTGTGTCACAAATTCACTAATTTACATAAATGAGAAATTGTTCTGCAACTGTTGTTCTTAACCTGGTAGACCAAGTGACACAACACAGTTATTTCAGATACAAAATGAATTGTCAGATCTAGGACCTAGACCAGAAGTAGAAGGTGAAGGCTGCGGGGGAATGTTTGGAGGAAAAGTAACGGTAGTATTCTAACTAGAAGTTACAAAAGAAAACATTAGAAATTAATTGCACATTTTACCATCCATTTCACTTTGAATCTTGTTTCTCTCTCTTTCTACCTCACTCTTTGTTCTTGCTGCCTCCAGTTTGACATTTGTTACTTCCAATTTATGTGAATGCTTAAGTTCTTCTACCTATGAATTAGGAAAAAAAAATCAACTAAAATAAATATTTTTTTTTTTTCACAGCTTTACTGCAAGTTTTTCATGTGATACTTTGCTAACAAGAAAATTTGCCAAATAATCATGGACTATGCTTATTTTAAACACACCTTAAATATTTTTTTCATCCACTGCATTCCTAAAGCCAATCCAGAACATGCACTCTTGTAGATAATTTTTAATGGTGATTATACAGATACTGTAAACTAAAGCTTTACTAAACTTTAACTAGCCAGTTATTGCAAGCTACAGTGTAGAAAAGTTACTCTTTTAAGAAGCCTTGGTGACATATGCACAGATGTACAGGATTGCCTGTGAAAACTTGGTTTCTGAGTAAATACTATGCATTTGACAAGCTAGCCTCTGAATATTGGGGCATTTCTGAAAAGACTACTCATTGGAAATATCTTGCTATGACACTGATCCAATATCGCATAAGACCCTGATGCCTCGCTAACTCAAGCATTAGCATATCAATTTATACATACTTCACTTTGGACTAAAGATCCCTCTCAAAATCAAGCGAAAATAAAGTTTAAATTTAATCTCCCTAAGTAAAACAAAACAGAGATTGTAAAAACAGACTCCCCCAAGTAATTTCAATTTGGTAACTGCTTATGGTCCCCCTGACCTCCTGGAGTGCTACACTACTTTCTCAAAATCCAAGTCTTCATAGTTTAAAAGTGCATTTTAAATCAAATACTTCTCTACAACTGTAACATACACATCAAATGGCCTCATAAAAGCAGGAGCTTTAAGAACATCAAATCAAAGACAATTACTGCTTGCATAGAAACCTTCTATAGTTTAGGCAGTCATATGCAGTAATTACACGGTCAATGAGAATTAAATACCTAGAGGAAAGCACTTATAATGAAAATCCATTCACAATGACAAATGTAATTACAACCTGCTAGCATATACAAGTGGCAAAAGGTTAAGAATGACACAGTAGCTTATTAAGTAACTACATGGTGGATTTGGTTGCTTAAATACTAAGTTGAGAACATTTCAGGGCAACTCGTAAAGATTTAAGGTGGCTTTTTTAAGGCACAAAATCCGGCAGACAAATATGTGCACCTGTGCTCAAGAATAAGTTTGAGTGGGTGCAGAAGTGGGTGGAGGTTAGTATAGAGATTAGTTTCTACTTTCCTCCCTTCAAGAAACACCACTGAACATTTTCATTTTCTCCTACTTCTGGAGGTGAACAGAGAACACCAATTGATACAAAAAGTAAAGACTGTAACAATCTGCTATATATTGTGACAGACACTTGATTAAAAATGTTTAACAGAAGTTTTCCCCTCCTATTTATTATTCATGTGAAACAAGCATGACGGTTGGTATAAAGAGGCTTTAAATACTGGTATAGGTATATCCTATTCTTACAGCAAATTAGAATTTTCTTGGATTAAGGACCAAAATGAAATACTTCACACTTGTGAACATGCACTGTAAATAAAGCCTGTTTTGAATTAAATCAGAGATTGTTGAAGAACTACATAGAAAGTTTTCTTCCTGTATTGTATCTTTCTTGAGGCATATTATGACAATATTAGCTGCCCTACTCAGACAAAAAGCATGTCAGTGCTATTTTGGAAAGTATATTCAGAAATGCAGGATAGCTTTAAGCCAACAGAGCTTAAAATAATTCTGCACTTCAGCTAGATACACAAGACCAAAGTTAGTGGCTTTACAGTTAGTTCAGAACTAACTAAAGCTTCTCCAGAAATGTAAGAAACCACAGGGGATTAAATTTGCTACCAGGAACTGACAGATGTGATAAAAATTTATTACCCAGTATTCTCTCCAGATAGGAAGGAGTAAGAGACAGAAGAAAGCTAATATTTATCCAAGTAACTATTTCATTAGGACTAGTATCCTGACTCAAATTGACACAAAGCAATGTAAGTATTCTGCAACTTTTGAAGCTCAAATGGTTTACTAGTGTTTCAATTTTTCTTGTTTATTCAAATAATCACATATGAAATTACATAAAGGGTCTGTCTTTTGTAAGTTTTGTAGCTGAGGAGTCACTGCAACTCTATGTTAATGTGACTATCCTGCTTCTAATATAACCTAAATCTCTGCAGGTGATTCCAATGCAGCTTGCTTCCTGCAGCTAACGCAGCCGAATCAGAGGATACTTTTCAAGATCTCCAGAAGCTACAGCTCCATTAAAAAAAGAAAAAAAAAACCACAACAATTTAAATCTCTATTGCCCTTTACGCACTTTATGAAAAAGTAATGCTTTTTCCCATCAAATAAGGCTGACTATTTTCATGAGAACTAAAAACATGAATATAAAGACACCTCTTCGAGCCCTTCTCTGTTTAGAGAAAATATCTAGAAAATGAAATAAAAGAGCATAACCTCAATCTTTAGAGATACTTTTAGGGACGTTTTTCCTGTAAAGTCACATAATCTATAACTTCCAACTGAAATTGGGGAAAAAAATTCCAAACCTATTTTGTCACAGCAGAAGACATTTTTACTTTATTCTTAATGTAAAATATAAACAGAAAAAAATTAAACATAACTGAATATGAAAAATGAATTTCAAATACCATAAAAACACTTACTTTAGCAGCTAAGGAATTGACTTCTCGTTCAGATTTGTGAAGTTTGCTAGTTAAGAGAATGTTTTGCTCATGACTCATCCGCAGTTCTTTCTCAATTCGATCAATCTGTAGTTCAGCAGACTTCTTTTCTGCCTTGAATAAAGGAGGCATCTGTAAGATTTCTGGAGCAGGGCTGTCTCTTGCTATTGACTTGAAAGGTTCAATTGATCCGGACTTTCAGATATTACTGACCCTTTATATTATAAAATAATATATCAATATTTATCCTGGCTCAAAAATATGTTCCAATACAACAAGGGTCTTGAATTTTACTCAAAAGTCACAACTAGTTTTACTAACACTGCCTGCACAGAATCACACTCATTTTCAATCCTACTTCACAAGAGGCAGAGGTAATCTGACTTGGTTAGGAGGCAGCAGGTATTACAGGCCAGTAATTTACTGGTGGGAGACACCAATATGACTGTAAATGGTGTGCTCAAAAAGATGTCATATGTTGGCCTATGCAGTTACATGAAGAATTAACATCATGGAGAGAAAATAAAATGGAATTACTGTGAATATTATAGACTCAAGATCTGGAGCTTTACTAAGTATCAAAAAGGTAATCTAACCTATGATTTCACCTTCATTTTTCTGAACTGACCTATTTCCAGCAGGACCTTTTTTTTAAAAAAAGAAAAAAAAAATTTCTAAATTAAGAAAATTACAACACTTTTCTTTTTCAGTTGTGATCAGAGCATTTTGTAACAAAGGTATACAGAACTGATAACAGTACAAAAGGAAAATGAACCATCTATCTGTATGCTGCAACTGTGCAAGAAATCTACATAGAAAGACTCCCCACCTAGAGAGATAGCAAGAATGGACAGTAGGACTGAAGACCACAGATGAGGAATACAGTGGAACCCTGGGAAACATACAACAGGCCAGAAATACCGAAGTTTCTTTAAGAGAGGGCAACAGCCAAGAACTAAAAAATTGCAGACATGTATGGGAAAAAGGAGAGACACAGATAAGCAAGGAAGACAACACCACATGAGGAAAGGGTTAAAGAAATAGGAGAGCATCATGAGACATTTTTGAAAAGAATAAAAAATTTACTATAGCAGATTATTAACATCATGTCACCAATTTCTAATTCCAGCCAAGTGACAACTGCTGACATGACCATCTTATTGACTGCAAACATGGATATCACTCACATCTTTAGAAAGGAGATTATTCAATAGAATCTCTCATTTTAGCTCTCCACCTTTCCACAGTGCAATTGGCAGTACATGACTCCCAATGTACTTACAATTTGTTTTTAAATCTGAAATGTACAAATTCAAATTGTGGATTCAATGGCAAAATTATCAGTGATTTCAGTGACAGTTCTATCAGGCCAAGTGTTATTCTCACTACAATCTACAAGGAGGCAAAAATTGAAAAAGAAAAAAAGAAAAAAAAAAAGAATCTTACCTCTAGAGACCTTGTCATAGCCTGCATCTCAGCTAACTGTCGTACTTGTACTCTTTGAACACTTTCTGCTTGCACACCACAATTGTCTCTTTCTGCTCGTAGTTCTGCTACTTCTGCTTCTAAGCCTTTTAATTTCTGATACAGTTGTGCCTTTTCTCTAGAGAGTGCCTCCACACGTTTACTGTCCCTTGTGGGATCAACACTAAGCAGCTGATTATGGAGTTCTTCTTTATCTTTATCCAGCCTTGCAATCTGATAGTTGTTAATCAGAAAAATAAAAGCTTTTACACTGGTTAGGTATCAGGCAGCAACAAATACAGCAGTTGACGATTCAGGAAAGAGCAGCAATGTGCATTTAAAAATATTAAGAAATTACATTCACATTTATTTTCTTTCTGAAAGTAGGAAAATCAACAGACCCATACTTCAGGTAGAACAAGAGGAAACGGCCTCAAGTTGTGTCAGGGGAGATTTAGATGGGGTATTAGGAAAACATTCTTCACCAAAAAGGTTACGAAGCATTGGAACAGGTTGCCTGAGGAAGTGATTGAGTCGCTATTCCTGGAGGTAATTAAAAGACTTGTAGATGTGGCGCTTAGGGCCATGGTTTAGTGGTGGAAATGTATGTGCTAAGTTAACAGTTGGAGTTGATGATCTTAAACGTCTCTTCCAACCTAAGCAATTCTATGATTCAATGCATTTTTTGCTTCAGTTTTCATTGATAAGGCTTGTCCTCAGGCCTCAGATGTTCCTGAGCCCCACAGTCATCTGTGGGAGTAGAGCAGTACCCAGAGTAGAGGAAGAAAATGCTAGGGACCATTTAATCCACTAGACACACACAAGTCCTTAGAATGGATCCCACCATTTCGAAGGAGCTCACTGGTATCATTGCAAGGCTATTCTCTATCATTTTTGAGAAGTCATGGCAATCAGAGAAGGTCCCTGATGCCTGGAAAGAGGCAGATAGCACGCCCATCATCAAGAAGAGCGAAAAGGTCAAGAAGAAGGTCCAGATAATTACAGAAGAGTCAGCTTCACATCAGTCTCTGAAGGTTATGAAGCAAAACCTCTTAAAAACCATTTCTAAACATGAAAAACAAGATGATGGAAAGCAGGGTTTACCAAGGGCAAATCATGCCTGACCTACTTCTCTGCTTTCTAGAAAGAAGCGACTGGTACTGCAGACAAGGAAAGGGGAGTGGATCTTGCATACTTTTATTTTAACAAGGTCTTTGATACAGTCTCCCATAATCTTCTCTCACCAAATTGGTGAGATACGGGCTGGAAAAGTGGATAGAAAAGTGGTTGGGCTGCCAACTAGTTAGGCTGCCAACCAGAAAACTGCTTGGGACTCAAAGAGTGATGATCAGTGGTGCAAAGCCCATGTGACTGCCTGTAACTAGTGGGGTCTTTCTGAGATCAGTATAGGGTGCAATATTGATTAATGTCTGTGTTAGTGACCTGGATGATGGGATGGAGTGCACTTTCAGCAAGCTTGCAGGTGACACCAAATTGAGGGGAAATGGTCAACATGTTGGAAAGCAGAACTGCTATTCAGAGGGATCTGGACAGGCTGAAGGAATGGGCTGACTGGAACCTCTTCAACAAGAGCTAGTCATGCATCTGGGATGGAGTAACCTAATGTAACAGTACAGGCTGGGGGCAACGGTCTAAGACGCAGCTCCATAGAAAAGGATCTGGGGATCCTAGCGGACAAGTTGAACGTTAGTCAGCAGAGTACCCTTGCAGCAAATATGATCAACTGCACACTGGCAGAAGGGTACCTAACAGATCCACAGAAGTGATCCTTTGTCCCATTCCAGTACTTGCAAGACTACATCTGGAGTTTTTGTCCAGTACACAAAGAATTATGACAAACTGGAGCAAGTCCAGTGGATGGCCACCAAGATGGTCAAGGGGTTGGTGAACATAACATATAAGTACAAGCTGAGAGAACTATGCCTCTTCAGCTTGGAGGAGAGAAGGAGATGCATGGTGATGGGAAGAGAGGCAATGGACACAAGTTAGAACATGTGAAATTCCAATTAGATATTAGGAAAAAAGTTTACCATGAATATAGTTAAATACTGGAATAGTTTATCCAGAAAGGTTGTGGAATCTCCATCCTCACAAATGGTCAAGACTCAGCTGGACATGGCCCTGAGTAGCCTGATCTCATTACACTTTAGTATTTTAAGCAGGATGTTGGACTAGAAGGAGGTCTCTTCCAACTTATATTATGATTCCACAATTCTATAACAATAGAAATCAAATATGCTAGTAACTCAATACAGCCAACATGATTGGGCCCTGTCAGACAGAAAGCAAAAAAAAAAAAAAAAAAAAAATCTTTCTGATACAGGCTAGTACAATAGGTACAAACTAATCTCAAGACCATATATTTATAATATGTTTGTTAGTTACAGAGTCTAGTGTTTCAAAATGAGTTAAGTGAACTGCATGTAATATTGGGACAAAAGAGTAAGAAAGGTATGTAAGAGTTCTCTTGATATTTGGAGACTAGTCCAAACTCTGATCTGCAGCAGTGCTTTTAGAAGTAGCATCAGTGATCTCTATGGAGCAAAGCCAATTTCTGCAGCAAAAGCCCTTCCAAATCACTTTTATGAGGAGATTTAAACACTTATTGCAAGCCATCATTTAAGAATTAGGATGTTTTTGTAGCCTCCTTGTACTAAATGGCATGGAAGGTTAAAAAAGCTCTAAGAGAGAGAAACTAGATCACGTTGCACCCTGGGCTCAAGGTAGTTTCATTCTCTGAAAGTGTGCTAATTAGCTGCAAGACTAGCACAAACTCCACAAGCCCACAAGAGAGGCAGGCTGTAAAGCAGCATGCGGGTTTAGCTCTGGGAAGGACAGCTGTTCTGCTTTTAATGCATTGCATTTGCAAATTTGGACTGATTTTGAAAGTGACGATTGCTTTGATTTGTGTCTCATGTTTGGACTAATACATTCAGATTTGGCATCTTAGGATATATGCTCCCAGACAAATACTTAAATGAATATGCAAATGACATATGCAACACTCATTTACACTGCTGCATATATTTAAAACATAAATAAACTGGCAATTTATTTAGCTACACTTTTGAAATTCCAATTCTGAAACAGAAAATTCATGAACAGTTTATTCAAGAATTAATACAACCAAAATAAAGTTACCAAAGTTTTCAGCATCCTTTTGACCACCACTGTCATGATCCAGCTTAGTTGCAAAATGTACCCTTGTCTTGTACCCTTGTCTGGTATTAACAAAATCTTCTGTTGCCTTCTTGGATTAGTTGCCACATAAGTAATTTAAAATCTAAACTTACATCAGTCGCTCAGATAACTTATTAATTTCAGGCTAGCGTAATGTCTCAAATTCCATCACAAATGCGATTAAAAAAACATTAAGCAAAGCTACTGGCTGTCATTTATCAGAAGGCAAGTCTATTCTTACTTATAATAGCACAAATGATACTGCGACACCTCACTGAACAAACTTACAGAGACAGCTTTAGGCTAAGTCATAAAAGTGTTTTGAGAATTAAGAGAACGGAAACAAACACTACATTTGAAATTATGTCAAACTGACAACCCATCAAGTACCAACGTTTTCACAATGTGAAAGTGACTTTGTCATCAGATACATTTTAAGCTTCTGTAACATTCTATATACCTCAGCCTCATACTTTATTTTCTTCTCTTCTAAAATACGTGTATGTTCTTCCTTTTGATGGTCAAATTCTGATTTCAGAAAAGTATGTTCATAACGAAGTTTGTTATATTCTGTTCTGTATTTTTCCACTTCCTAAGACAAAAAACCCAAAAACATCAAATCAGAGAAGTTTTCAGATTTATTTCCTTCAAATGTCTGTGCAATGTTCCTATCATTTCACAAGTTATATTTGATGAACTAAATCCTCCCTTCTCTCTCTTCCTAGGTTTCAGCCTCACTGCCTGGGGCAACAGTACCAGACAACGTCATACTTTGCTCCCCTTTCAGTTTTAATTTCCTAAGGTTTTAGGAACAACTATAAACTGGTGATCACTACTCTAAATGAAACAGAATTTCAATACTTACTACGTACATTTTCTAGCTTCCGATAACGTTCTGTCATAGGAGATTCCAATTCCTG